CTTCTCATCGATCAGAATAGCCATTGCTTTCCCTCGGCTCGAAGCTAACCTGCATGAATAAGACCATTGCTCGTCTTTCCTTACCTGGTCAGTGGGCTTGCCAACTTTACCATGACCTTTGGGGATGGTTTGGGATTTCCGGCTGCACTTCACGAAGTCCTTCTTCACGTAAGTTTGAACTTGAGTTTTAGACTCATCAAATCTGATCTTCTTCTTGATCACGTTCGATGCAACCTTATGGAACGTCCCTTCATCATCACTCCAATCATGGATAAGTGCAGGAGTAGCCTTTGAGCTTGGTGCTTCAGTGTTTGGAGCAGTGTTGAATAGATGAGGATCGTGGCGTTTGTTGCATTTGTCTCCATACCGACACTTGCCCTTAGCCCAATGCCAGCATGGTTCATCAATCTTCTTGGTCTTGTTTGCCGGAGACTGACTTCTTGGAGTTCCTGGCTTCCGACCGTTGCCTTTTGCATTCTTGTTCGCATCAAATACCTTTTGGTCGTGACTGTATTCACAATCCTTGCCTTTTCTGCATGCTTTCTTGATGAAATGGAAATGGCATGGGATCTTCTTCTTGGATCTGGGGCTGGTACTTCGGCTGTTTGCTCGATCCTTCCCTTTCCCTTGACCTTTTCCTTTTCCTTTCGCATGCTGTTTAGGCTGAGGTGATGGTAGAACTGGAGCTGCATCGGCCTTGGCCTTCGCCTTGGGCGCTGCCTTCTCCTTGGGAGTAGCTTTAGGCTTCGCTTTTGGATTTGCATCCGGTGCAGCGGCAGTTGGGTTCGGAGCAGGAGCTGAAGGTTTGCCGCCGCCTGCAAAGTCTCTCGCATACTTCTCTCTGGCTGCCACATGCTTGTCCTCTCTGATTCTGGAGATGTGCCTTTCGATGACATCCAACAGGTAGCGATAATTTCGTCTTTGGTCTCCTTCCATCCATGACTCGTACTGCTTGATGTCGAACATCATAAGACTCGAATTTCGAATCTTCTTGTATAGAGCGTCACGAAGCCAATCATCAGGAGGTACGTCATCCGGCATCATGTTTGATACCATCTCCATCCATTTCTCGTAGAACACTTCTAGGTTCGAGTCACCGAGATACTTCATCGATACGATGTGTTCCATGGTGAAGGATGTTTCTCGTTGACCTGGGGTTCTGAAGTGCTCCAGAATCATAGCCAAGATTTCCCGTCCCATGACATAGGTTCCTCTTCGGCTATGACTTTGTGTTCTCAATCTCAATTTGATCGCTACATGACGAGCAACATCACCGGCTTGGGCTATCACGTTTGACAATGCAATTGACAACTTGGCGTCGATGGACTGATACCGTTGCCCCCCACTGTCATTCAACAGCTCGATGTCAGGATTTGGTCGAATAGCCGGCTGTAGCCATGCTTCCCATGCGGCTTTATCCCCGTCATTTGCCGAAAGAACAACACTCTTGATGAGGTCTGATTGCCAAACCCCAAGATTCTGTTGCTTTGGCCATGGGCTAACATAGACTTTGTCAGCCTCTCGTCTTGACATTCTCGGTACTTCTTCCGCAGTGTAAGCCGCTGTGGAGACATCATCTGCTGAATCGCGTTGTGATCCTCGAACTGAAGGCAAACCAGGAGGTTCAGGAGGTGGTCCTGGACCGTTAGGCCCGAAAGGGTCCGGAGGTCCATCAGGGTCAGGCGGACCGCCCCATCCACTCGGTGGCTTGTAATAGTCCCTCTCAGTTCCGCCAGCGATCTTGTTGTCAACCTCTTTCAGCAGATCAGCGATTCTTTTGCTTGATTGAGAATGCTGTTGTTGTTGAGGAGGTACAGCATGCCCACGATAGGAATGAGCCACATTTGTCTCATAAGTCAACTCCTTGTCGATCTGCGAAACCCAAGATTTCAGAATAGCGTTTTCACAGTTAGCCTCACTCACGTCATTCTCCAGTTTGTCGATGACCAGTCTGGATGCGAGATCGGAGTTGGGAATGCCTGCCGAATAGGGAAGTGTGTCAGGACTGATCCTAGCCATAGATGTTTCAGAATCCTTGAGACTTTTTCTCAGTTCATCTAAGTGACGTTTCATGTCAACAATCTCAGAATTCTTGATACCAATCTTTTCATCCCTATCCTGGATTTCCCCCATGAACATGCATGATCTCTCATATTGTTGAACACCACTCGCCAATTTCAATTTTCGCTCACTCTCTAGTTCAGATCTTAGAGTTCGGACCTCAGCATTGGTGAGGGACGACGCCCCTACATCCGCAACTTCAGCCAGCCTTTCTTTTAACAACAAGTTCTCTTGTAAACATTCATGAACTTCATGATCTAGATCCTGAACCCTGATTTGAGCGATCTTAGCTTGATTACGTAGATCTTCAACAAGCATCTCTTCGGGGCCACGACCGTCGGTCGTAGAACCCTGAGTCAACGATCTTCGTAACTTCGTGTTCTGCAACTTGATTTCATCCTTCAATTCGCAGTTCATCTTCTGCTCGTTGGCATAGAGCTCCTCATAGTGCTCTGCCCTTGCGATCGAGTTTGCACTAGCCTGTGATTCAAGCCTCAGGTGAGATATTGCTTCGGCCTCTTGGTTCCTGTATGATGCAATTCTTCTGACGGTATCATGTTCAGTGTTTCGATGCTTCAGATCACTTTCCAATTTGGCCTGATTTGCCTCGAACACCTTCTTCCTAGATTCTCTAGTGATCTCATCAATACTGCTCTCATACAGCTCGGCCTGTTTACGAGACTGAACCAAAGCTTCACTCAATAGCTGATTTCGCTCAGATAATTCATGAACTGCAATTGATTGTTGTTGGCTAATCACTTCAAGTTGATTACTAGAGAAGGATGCCATTTCAGATCGATTACGATATTCCATGATTGAGTTCTGGAAATCATTTTGCATTTCTTGACCTTCATTGTATAGTCGATTGGCAATATCGGTGGTTAAGACATTGGTTTGATGAAGTTGTTGTAGTCTTGCCTCCGTATTACCCAGTAGTCCTTGAAGGTGATGTACTTCATCCTTGTACTCCTCCTGGATCTCCATACCACGTTGATGGATCCGTCGTGCACCATGTTCCATTAGGGCACCTCGGCGTTCAAGGTCTTGGATGCGTATTGTTGCACCTTCGTCTTCCTGAGATGCTACCATTAGTTCTGCTTGATATTCTGCAACCTCATTTGCGGAACATGACAATCTATGATTGAGTGCATTGACCTCATCAAATACATTCTGATTGTGTTCCCGAAGATACTCAGTGAATCTGATCTCGATGTCATGAATCAGTTGATCCCTGGATGCAGCGTATGCTTCCATGTTGTTCAGCTGATTACGTAGGGATTGACATTGTGCCCGTAGTTCTTCTATCATGGCAATAGGTTCACTAGCCACAGAAGTATCCGTTGATCTCCTCTTAACACGACTATCCCCGGTCCTCTCACCAATTCGGTCGGTCACGGCCCTGGTGGATCTGTCCCTTGGAGTAGTACGTCCTCGAGATGGTCGATGCCCTTGGCGGACAACATCACTCCGAGCACTGTTTCGAGAAGATCTAGGTGTACTTTGGGTGGATATTCTTCGTCTGTTTGATGTGACTTGCCATCCGGACTGTGTAGTTCGGGTAGAGCGTATCCCGCCACTGTCTGCCGTGTCGCCAGGGGAAGATTGATTGACCTCCTCGACCGGCATAGCAGCGTTCTCATTGAAGGTAAACTGCGTGGTGCGCGAATCTCCGCTGCCGCCTTGCATCTTTGCGATGATGAGCTGATTGGTCCTTTGCGTCCTCAATCAATTGCTCAGACGGCCCGGCTACCAGCACGCAGGTACCACTCTCCCGGCGGGAGAAGTGAGCCTTACGGCTGATAACCTGTGAACAAATTGATCCTTGTTCTGGATTATCCCTTTTGTCTGTAGTACCAGTAATGCTGATAGCGCCGGGCGATCTCAGTGCATGGCATGCGGACAGCGTTCTTATTTTCCTCGCGCAGGACTTGAGCCAATATCATTGGCGGTCCATGCATGACTGTACACATGTTCATCATGTGCAGCTACACTGTTACCTCGTTCCCCTTCGCATATTATTATCATAATTGGCTAGTATCATCTAGCATTATCTATCATAATCTGTTGTGATCTTTTATCAACAATTATCATCCATTATTAGTATTACTAACATATTGGAACAAGATTTCAGCAAACTATTTATGACTACGAAACTGATATTTTGTGATATTATCCAACATTACGACTACTAATATTCATAGTTAGCGTTCGAACTAGTAGATATGCTTTATACAAATCGTAGATGATATAAAACTTAATTAACTGCGTAGAATACGAGTTTCTTGTCTGACAAAATCGATGTGACAATTCACAATCATAATAGTTACTTTTAACATCTTTTAACATAGCTACAAGCTAAACTAGAGTAATTATTGAACCCTCCATAATCACTAGGTAATACTCTTAATTATTCATATAGTTGTATCTCTAATTACTAAACTATGATTAAACTAATCATAACTATTTTTGGTTGATTGTAGTGATACTGATCCTATCCCCATAATATTTAACACCGCCTAAATGGTCCCAAATATGTGTAAATCTCCTACTAAACCATAGTTTCTGGGGTGTCTTAACATGTAATAGTAGTTAATATCTTATAGTTAACTCGGAAATATCTTACAGTAGTGAATCATCAATACCTGGTAGTTTAACCCAACATAAATGCTATCAATATGGTACACTGGGATCAACTACTAGGTGTTTATATTATATATAATATATCTATAATATTAATACTAAATAGATAATAGTATATATCTATCATATTAACTACAAGTTTTTTATTTTCATTTTTTTAAGTATTAATAGGTATTCATATTGATATATGATTCAAAAAATATTCATAGGAATTAATATTTTATAATATTTTGCGATTTTTAGTACCAATATTACTATATGATCAACACCCTATTGGTCTACTAATAATACCCAGGCACTGCACGCCATGCCTGGCGCCGGGCACCCACCGAGTTCTTGTAGGCCACGGAGAACCTCAGTTTCCAATTTGTTTTCGAAAATCTAAGATGGCTAGCTGGGAAATTACGGAAGTAAATGGTAAGTCTTGCTGGAAAAAACACACATCCAAGGAAATGGGGATTTTCGATTGGCATATATTGGCATGCTTGAGTACCAGAGAGTTAATTAGTTTTTTAAAAAAATATGATGCCAGAAATGGATTGAAATTTGAAATCCATTTCAGCATTGACGATCTATTGCATCGCCGTGGCGATTTGAAGCGAGAAAAAACGGATCGGTAAGGGACAAACATCTGGTGATAGGAGAAATGATTGGGATAAGTAGACAGCAAACATGTTGACATTCGTTTTATAGACGGCTAACATCCTTTTGTTGTAGTACTCACTACGAACTGCTTACGAAATATGCACCCGTCTTTCTGTGATAATGACATCTGAACCTACTCAACCAGAGCCTTTCTTTGGGGGAACCATTCGCTGATGGGCCAGCCAAAGCACAAGTTCCGCTCGTCCAAGTTCAACTCGGAACCTGCCAATGGCGGCGGATCTACAATTGCACATGTGTCAGATTTCTTTGGGTATCTTAGCCTCAAATTGCATGCTTGTCATCTACCAAATAAACATCAAGGGATCAGCTTGCCCTTAAAGGCGATGATGCTGCAACACTTCACTTACCATTTCTCTTCTTGGAGTACAAGATGTCATTCTCGGAGGAATATACCCTGACTATTGACTGCGGGGGTTAGCTCCAAAATAGTGAAATCGATTGTTACGGGATTGCCCTCTGGCAATTTAACGCAGCGAACTGGAACATCACCAATTTGAAATAGGTAAATGATCATAAATGGACGTGCCCTAAAATGCGGGTACCCCCAAATCAGCCAAAATTAAACCATTTCAGTGTTGAAACCTATTGTTTTGGGGATCCCTCATTTTAAGAACCCCCCAAATCATCTGTAACTGGGCCATTGTCCTTAGCAAACTCTTGAAAATCACTAGAGAGTATATCCCCCAGCAGCTGAGGCCAGAACCCATGCATGCCACACGCTTCATGTACCTTGGTGGATATGCGAAGATTGACAATGAAATCAATGGAAAATCTATGGTTTTTCTGGCGGTTACCCTCTGGTAAACATACAGAAAGCGATTGAAAATGGCAATTTATAGTGGATTTTACCATTAAAAATGGTGATGTGCCATAGTTCATATAACCAACACTTATGGATTTCGAACGGAGAATTGGACTACCATCCGGTGTCATCAAACGTGGCGGATGACCATCCCAAGAATGGTTACCACCCAAATGAGACCATGACTCAAATTTTCGACCACAAACGTTTTTCAGATGTTTCCCATTGATTCGAACAAGCCTTGAATCCAAGGATTTTTCCACGCCGGTGGTGCCCAGCATCTGTTGAGCCATCCCAGTTTTTGCAAACACCCAACATTTCAAGTTTTTTCCTTTTTACCACAGAAATTTGGATACTTCCACCACACGGACATGAGTTTTCTTTGTCACCATTCTTTGGATGTCCTTCCCAATGATATCCCTTTTGTATCCATGAAAAATCCAAAAGTCAAGTAAATGTCATGTGTTTCCAGGCCCAGCAATCCATCTTTTTCCCCATCCCCGGATTTTCCAGCTCAGCCCAGCAACTCCACCATATCCTCGAAGCGCTCGGCCTGCTCTGCCAGGCGTGCCATGAAGACACACTCATCCCGCGTCCCCGACATCGCCGTCGATCTTCCGACGCGGATCGACGCGGATCGCTGGGCCGAAACAGAGGAGGCTGGATTTGGGGATTTGGGTGAAATCATCTAATGAACTTGGCTGGCAAAGGGGAGAGAATTGGGAATAGCCAAGTATATTAACATATATGTTCATATATATATATGAACATATATGTACATATATATATATAGAATTATATATATAATTATGTATGTATGTATGTATGTATGTATGTAATGTAACGTAACGTAACGTAACGTAACGTAACGTAATGTAATGTATGTAATGTATGTAATGTATGTAATGCATGTAATGTATGTAATGTATGTAATGTATGTAATGTATGTAATGTATGTAATGTATGTAATGTATGTAATGTATGTAATGTATGTATATATATATATATCTACGTGTATATATATATGTATATATATATATATATTCGCATATATAATCATATATCAAGCATATTTTGATCTAACATCCGCACCTCTTCGTATATATATATATCATCAACATCACTTCACCATTCTTTGATCAAACACCACCATGTCCCGCCCTTTAGATCCTACAGGTGGACACCTTTCGCGCGGCCATCGCCATTGCAAGCTTTCGCAGCTGCCCCGGTGAGCTTTGAAGCGAAGAAACACTGCATGGATGCGGGAACTCAACAAACAACACTAATCAATCAGTCAGTATAATAATCAGTAAATGATTATCAGTACATGATCTAATATCTCAGTATAATGATAATATCTCAATATCATGATCAGTAAAACTCAACAAACAACACAAACCAATCGAACTATCATCAGTACAAAATATCTCAGCATTTTTTGCCTCAAAGAACCTCTGCCGAGTCATCTCAGCTCGGCGCAAACGACGCGCAGGAATGCGAGGGATCATCGGATCAGAAAGCAGTCGGATTGGGATAGGAATGGATATTAGTCGATATTCATGGATAGTCATCGATATTTATGGCTATTTTTTCGTGTGACTTCATGATTTTCTCCGGTCAGTGTTGGTTGTAACCCTATATATACTCCTTGCATCATGATGATCCATTCGAATCTTCATGGCGCTGAGCGCCGTCTCAACTGAAGAGCATGTCGAAATCATCCTTGGGAGCCTTAGTACCGAAGGACCATGGGACGAGAAACTTCACGGAGTACCGGACGACGCGAAAGAGACGTTTCTAATGGATGAATTCATTTTTTTGGATTTGAGATCGTCCAATTCAGTTGTTAAAACATTAGGAACCAGGATTCAGTCGTTGGGGTTCACAATTTCGATCCAGACCCAGATACATGGCAATGTTGCACGATTAGACATGGAAAACAAAGAAAACACTGAAGGACTGCTGTGCTTTGTGGTTGAGCAAGCTGCTCATACTCCCAAAATGATCTATCTTCAGCGATCCCAAGGGTTTAGATACCGCGAAATGTCATGACCTACATGAAAAGGGAAATGGATGGACATGGTTTTTTGAACCTTCAGGGAGATACATCCAGTAAGGGTGCAAACCAAGCTTCACCTCCTTCGCATCTGACATGGAACGGCCAACAATTCCAGGATGCACATTCCAACTTGGATGTGCATCCCAGTTAGAAGGTGCTTTATAATTCATATATAACCAGATACAAGTGGGGATATGCGAGGATATTCTCTACATATATATAGAGTAATATATATATATATATAGAGTAATATATATATATAGTAATATATATATACATAGTAATATATATATATATAGTCATATATATATATATATGTATATCTATAGAGAACTGGGGGGTATAACTCTCATTAACCCACTAAGTGGGGACCCCCAACTTTAGCTACTCCATCTGAGATCACCGCCGGATACGGCGCTGCCGGCGCCGGTGCCGGCGGTGCCGGTGCGGGACCCAAGCCTTGGCAATGTGAGAAAGATGTGAGAAAAGGTTGAATTTAAGCACCAGTTGGATGGTTTATTTATAAATCACTATGATAATCACTTTAAGAGTCACTATTCATGGCATTTATGTGAGAAATCACTATTATAATCACTATTATAATCACTATTATAATCAATATTTATGGTGATCCGAAAAGGTTGAAAAACTGCACCAGTTGGATGGTTTATTTTATTAGTCACTATTCTAATCACCTATAGTGACACTGTTCGATGGCATTGTTTTCATAACATATTTGATTATTTATAGGATTGAAAAACCATCCTTTTGGTGATGCAGGATTCCATTTATAGGATTGAATCCTAATATTTACCCTCTGGTTATTTAACATAGCCATGGAATAGATGGCCCATAGAAATAGATGATTTTCCCAGCTATAAACCTCCATTTATAAGGGATTTTCCATGGCTATGTTAAATAACCAGAGGGTAACATGGTTGATTTGGGAAATCACCAAATGGTATCCAACCAAACAATGGGAAAAATGAGAAGGAACAAATGGTGAAATGAATAGTGAAATCCAAGTATAGTTCCAATTTAATTCAATTTTCCAATGAAATGAATTGAGAACAGTTTGTGGGACACCATGATTTTTCAATCCACTGTTGGGGTTTCCTGTTTCAACGTTCGTTGTTTTCTGGACGACGGCCACACCATGGGCTTGCGCACCGGGGCTATCGAAGGACAACACGTCCGGGGGCTGAGCAGGATGAGGCTTGTACCCCTAAACAGAATTTTTCCTGGGTTGTGGAGTGTGAAATACTAACAGAAAGGGATTGAAGAAAAAAACCGATTGCTTGAAAGCTGTACCAGCAGCAAATAAACACCATAGAGAAGTGACATGGAAGAATGCCATCGTCCAAAGCCAATGTTTTTTTGAGTTCCTCAGATTTCAGGTATCTTCAAACCGCATCTACCTCCAACTGTCAAGAAAACTTGAACAATCTAGGAAAGCCACAGGCTGCTAACATCGTTTCTTGGTGACGATGACAACTGGCTGGTTCTTTCAGCCCATCTTTTAGGATATTCGTCCATTTTGGATCATCATTCCAAAATCTTCCAAATAGGCTGGAGAATAAACCATGTTTGACACCACCAAGCAATGAAGAACATAGATCTCCATGAACCCGAGAGACATGATCACCATGAATTCCCTCAACCAAAAAAACGAAATATACCCACGAAAATCCGGGTCAACATCAGATCTGTGTCATTTGGATGAAGAAATTGGGAATTCAAGGAAACTAAGAGATTTGGTGCAATCATGGTTACATACATATATATATATAATTATATCTATATACGTATATGCGAGGATATCAGCATACATTAACTGTCAATAGTGGGCTTGAAAATTGAAATCTTGAATTGCTGATTAACTTTTTTTACTATCAACATATATCAACATCCCAATGGTTTTTGGGATATTCATGGTGATTTACATCTCCCAAATCTTCCCCAAAAAATGTCATCGCCATGCCTTGGGTGCGGCCGCTTTTGGTACGCCATTCAGGGCGCCGGCCTGGTCGATACCAAAGCAGTGGGAATTTTAGCATAAATTCATAGATGCCATGAACATTTCATGGAAATTTATTTTTTTGGTTGTTTGTGGGATTTCAATGGGATTTGAATGAGGTTTAATGGGATGTTAGTGGATGTTAATGGGATTTCAATGAGGTTTAATGGGTTATAGTGAGTTCCTAACTGAAATGGCCACAAAGTGGGGTTACTTTTAGCTACGCAACAAATTTGGAAACCTCCGAATGATCCATAGGTGTTTCAATACTGTCTGAAAGATTCGACGAGTCTAAAACGATGTGGATGATTCGGGGGTACCCCTTATTTGGGAACAGCATTTTAAGCACTGGAAAACCTACATTTGGAATCGGGCTTTGTCTGAGAAAGGGAGAGGTAGCCCAAAAAACACACCAAGGTCTACAACTGATGATGTCCGTTCTCTCCTTTTCTTGATAGCAATTTTTAAGAGCTACATCGCATTCTTGGACCGCGCCCGAAAATGTGGTGATGCATTATCTGTTTGGTGATTTAATGGTGATTTAATGATGGTTAATGATGATTAATGATGCTTAATAATGGCTGGTTGGTGGTTGAGCCTACCCCTCTGAAAAATATGCGAAAGTCAGTTGGGATGATTTTCCATTCCCAACTGAATGGAAAACATATGGAAAGTCATAAAATTCCATGGTTCCAGTCACCACCAGTCAGTTATGATGCTTTGCACTAATTGAAACCACTTGGAAGTGGAATGGCAACCATTTGTGGGATGATCACCAGCTGACACAACCGGGATCTCCATTGGTAGCGGGAGCAACCCTTCCAAATAGGGAAACCATCACAAAAGCTTCATGGCGAATACACGAATTGCTAGTTCAGTGTATCCTAAAATGGGGGACCCAAGTTATGATCCGAGTTATTACCCTCTGGTAATTTGTTACATAGCTATTGAAGCCGTGGCCCAGTCGAAATAGTGAATTTTCCCATTAAAAATGGTGGATCTTTCCATAGTTTTTCGTATGTTTACCAGGCCTGGTTTGGGGCCACGATTCAGAAACAACCTGTGTTGCAGAATCCAGGGAACCCCACTATCCAAACCACCGTTATTTTCACGACCGTCACGGGTGGATAACCCAGGGACTATCCCCCCTGGCATTGGCATTTGGAAATTGCTGGAATTTCAATGGATTGGTTTCTTAGGATTCATCAAGCTCATAATTCCAAATTCAGAAACGGCTTTGTGGGTAAAAACCATGTCAAAACCAAACAAAAGGTCCTTAGGTATCCTGAGTCATAGCTGTTTAATGGATGTTAAAAATCCCCAAATCACACGGTACATGACCAATCCCCATATATATATTATATCATGTAGGATAATGGTACAATAGATTATACCCCTATTATTTATACCCTGGTTGGTGGTGCAATAACCATCTTGAAAAATATGAGTTCGTCAATGGGGTTGGGATTATCCCATATATGAAGTGGACAATATTTCATTCATGTTCCAAACCACCAACCAGATGGGGCTTATCATTTTCATTGGATATAACTACCATGAATGTCTAAACTCTAAGTCAAAAATGTTTGATAACATGTTCAAAACCATCTTGTTTATCTATCATCCCTTGTACCCCTGGTGAACATCAAAATAGCTGGTAAATGGATGTTCATCCCCCTAAAACTGGTATTTATAGGAATTGATCCATCCCCCTATATATTCCATATGGTCCCCATGCTTTGGAAAATCCCCAACTCCGAAAACGGTAACGGCCTTCGACTCCCAGCTGATCCTGGTGACCTGCAGATGTGTGTTTCAATGGCCAGTCCAATGGTGAGTAATGGTCATAACAATGGTAGTATCAATGCTTTTATTTGTGGTTATTTTCATGGTTAGGGACTCAATGGTCACTGTAGTATTGGTTACTGTTTTTTTGTTACCCTCTGGTAATTTAACATAGCTATGGACAATCACCATTTTTAATGGGAAAATCCACTATAAATGGCCATTTTCAATAGCTATGTTAAATTACCAGAGGGTATTTTAGTATGGTGAAGCCAAAAACGTTCGATTCACCGCTGGAACTTATCCCAAAAGATGGTGCCGTTCGATGAAACCCAGGATGATCATCCCAGAAATAACCAAACGGTTAGGAAGTAGCCCAGCAGTGGCTTATATGTATTTGGGGATTTTCTAGGAATAAACATCATAATATGGGGATCATATTTCTGTATATATATATATTATATATATATCCCTACTATATGATGTTTATATGATGTTTATTCCTTATATCCCCTTTTTTATTATAGGAATATTAGGATCATATATTAGGTGTGACCAACAGATCCCCATCCCCTGTCCGATGTTCTGGTCGATCCTCGAAATCGCTGGGTTTTTTTGCTACCGCGATTGGTCAAATCCGATACACAAATAGCCCAGGAAAGAGATTCCGCCGGCAGGCCATCCCTATCCTCAGGAAAAAAAACAAGTCTTGTGGCGATTTTTTTGTCTAGTAGATTTTGATCTGCAAATTTTCGACCATTTTCTCACTTTACATTCCAAGTCATGGTCAATCTTTGGTAGTCCACAAAAAATAACTCATCTTTTGCTGTTTAGCTGGATATTTGATGTTCGGAAGAATCATCCATTGAACATGGAACATGGCTTTGAAATAAACCAACCAGCTATGGGGATAAACCAAGGTGGATATTTTGCAAAAAAACCCTGGAGTAAGCTACTCATCCAGTTGGTTGACCTTGGCCACCACTTTTCCGTCGAAGAGGGGCACTTGTGCAGCCTAGCGCGTGACGCAACGGTGGGATATCCTGGGGATTTCACCAATGGTCATTTTCAATAGCTATGTTAGCTTACCAGAGGGTAATATAACCGGTAATGGTATTTAATTAATAAGTAACATTGACCGAATAAGTAACTCATGAAAATATCACCATGTTTAAACATGGTTTTAACATGGGATCATCTGGAACATCACCAGCACCTTTTTGAATGTTGGTAACGAAAATCACCATGTTGGCGGAGAACACCCATCCAATTGGACAATTTTCTCGTGACCGAATACTCGAATTTTATGGGATGTTACCGTATTACCCACCACCAGGCATTGGGGTGACATGAGTTTTACAACATAGGTAGTGTGGTAAACCAAATCATGAAAGGCCGTGTTGGAAGGTTCTCCAACCTTCGAAATGATGCATTTGCGAACTCCGCAGTTGGCGATGCAGATCCAGGAAACATCTGTCATCAAGCCGCCCAAAGAAACTTTGGAATTCAGATAGAACATGATAAAACCAATGCAACTCTGCCAATCCCAGGGGTTATGTTAAAAAATGCTGTGCCAAAACATCTCCCGCAAGAGGCCTCATTGGTCACATCCATCCATGCCACTTGCAGTGGATCGGGACCCCAACGCAGCTTGAAGCGAAAGTGATACCTTGACGCCGCAAACAGGATGAGGGATCAAATATATCAAATTCTTGAAATAAGAAGGCATCTATGATCAAACATGATCACACATTAAATCAACTGAGTTCGGCTAATCAACATCATACAATCAACTCATTATATATGTTACGTGTTCAAAAAAAATCCTCAAATTGTCTTGGCCAACGGCCAAGCCCTCATAAATTCTCGACCTGACCTTAAATTGAAAGTGAGCCCATTTATGGGGGATGGAAAAATGATACTTCCAATGCTGCAGATCCGCTCTGGAAAATGGGAATGGGAACCGGGAAAAAACACCACTGCTTCTGCTGCATGAAAAGCGTGTCAAGCATGGGCACCAGCACTCATAAGTCATCATAAGTCATGATGAAGAGGTGGGGTTAGTTGATATAGACTTCAAAGTCATGTGATTTTAATCAAATATGACTTCTAAGAAGTAAGAACGAATTGTGGCTGCATGTTGTGAATATTGTTGTCATTGCCGGTTCATTCACCCCATAGGAAATTCTCACTTCCAGAGTTTCAGAATTCAACTGTGCATCTGTCTTTTAGTTGAGTCCAATTCGGATTCGATTCGATTTTGAAAACAATCAGAATCTTCCAACTTTCCAACCCTTGGGCCCTTTAAAGGCAAGGCTTCAGCTGTGTCGCTCAACAGACTGCGTAGCGACTGAGCTCTCCACGTCCCAGGCAAGGGAAACTTGCTCCGGATGTCCTGGCAGAAGTGTTTTTTGCTCTTCGGTTAGCTCTTTCTGGGTCTTCAATGGATCTTAACATATACAGTACATACATACATACATATATATATTATAATATATATATATATACATACATATAACAATAATAAATATAGTAAATAAAAATAACAATAGCAACAATAATACTAATGAAACATAATAAATCATAAATAATAATGATAATAACAACAACAATAATATATATATATAATGTAAACATGCAATTACTCTAATAATAGTATATATATGTAAACATGTAATTACTCTATATTTTTCTATGATATTGGTCCTGCTTGTGAAGTCTATGTCAAGTGTAAGCAGCCAAGATGTACTGAATGGCTACTCCATGGCTGCATATCGCTGCAGCAGGCTTTTGACATTCCCGTTCTTGACATACAAATCAAATCAACATCAGTGTGGCTGTCTAACAATCTTGGATATCCCCCAATTCCAAAGTTTGAACTATCACCAATTTCCCCATTCTTGGACATAACTTGGGATATCTGGAAAAAAAAATTGCACCATGTGATGCAGTCATAGGGAGAAGAGCCGAACACAAAGCAACTTCCTGCCAGGAGCAACATCCTGCCATTCACTAACTGATTTCACCCATAACAGGGGTGGTTAACGACGGGTTCCCATTGCCCATGAACCATCATGAGCCACCACGAACCATGAATCATCATGGGCCCTGTCGTTGTGATCTGTTTTGACATACTCAAGCATTCACTTTCCTCACAATCATTTGAATGTTTCTTAAAATTAGGCTACAACCATTGGTATCCCCAAGAATGGCCGGCATCATTCAATCGTAACTTGGATGCTACACATGGCAATGGAGAATTCCCTCCCATTTACAGCTTTTCCTATGAAAATTACTGAAAAACACTTGTAGGCGATGTTCCAGCCACGTTTTGATGAAACCGGAGGGTCATATATACAAAAATCCCATGAACATATTCCCATCAACACTCACCAAATTTCAATGGTAAAACCATGGTAAAACCATGGTAAAAGCCAGCAATTTCCCCATGAGATCCCACACGAGTCCTGCAACATCACTTGCCCATCAGGCTTCAAGACCGGAAAGACGTTGGGCGTTTCCGCCTCCGCAGAAAGCCCATGGTCGAAAGCCAAGTCTTGGTCGAGTCGAGTCACCCAACTGTTCGATGGTTAAAAAACCATCATTTTGCGAAACACATCAGCATTATTCAGTATTTTTGCGGGTGAAATCACTTTGCCTCCGAAAACAACCATCTATTATACCACATGGGTATTATGGTGATGTGGTTTCATCTATTATACCCTACGTTAAAACCATCTATCATATGGTGGTTTCCAATCCATGGGGCTACCCCAGTTCTCCATTTGATTTTCTGAATGATCATCCATTGAAAATATGATGGGATTTTCCATGATTTTTTTCCAACCAGCGTTTTTGGGATATCTCCATTTACTTCCTGGTGCGTTTTACGTAGGGAATGGATGGGTTGCTGGGGGTTGCTGGGATGATTATTAAATAGTTATGGATTGGACCATTCCCGAAAATTCCCTGCGTTTAGCACGCACCAGGACCAGACCTCCATTTATGGAAACCCGAAAAATCACGGGTGAAACCACTGGCTCCTGTTGTACTAAAATAGATGCTCCATGATATTGAGATACCTCTATATTGGATACCATATCATAGTACCATTTATGGAAACCCCAATATAGACTTACTGGTGCGGTGCTAAACGCAGGGAATTTTCGGGAATGGTCCAATCCATAACTATTTAATAATCATCCCAGCAACCCCCAGCCAAAAACGCTGGTTGGTTTATTTCATGGAAAATCCCATCATATTTTCAATGGATGATCATCCCAGCAACCCAAATTCCCAGTTAGTAGAAATAATCACTAGTAATGTCATCATCCCAGCAACCCAAATATCCCAAATTCCCATCCATTCCCTACGTAAAACGCAGCAGTAAGTAGAAATACCCTCTGGTAAACTAACATAGCTATTGAAAATGGTGATTTATAGTGGATTTTCCCATTAAAAATGGTGATTTTCCATAGCTACGTTAAATTACCAGAGGGTAAACCATCCAGCTCTACTATGGAACCCTCCAAAAGGGTGAAATCATTGGCTCCTCATCGCCATCCCCCGGGATGTGGTAAAAGACCAAGATGGGACGTGCCTGCCGGGCCCCAACTCAGCTGGCACCGTTTTTTTTTTGGGGGGGAACATGGGGAACAACTTTCTGAAAATTGGGTTTTCAATGGGTTTTTGAATCTGAAAATTGGGTTTTCAATGGGTTTTTGAAGGATCTTTGAGGAACATTTGTGGTTGAAAGATGTTGAAAGCATGGGTTTTTAAGCCACACACATGGAGGTGACCGATTTTGCAACGAATTCTTGGATATGACATGTATCACCGTTTTTGCAACAATGGTAAAAAGTAGCGATATGCTTCATTTTCAGTCATTTTCATACATACCCAGCCATTCGGCCCAGCTATATGCAAGACTTGGGTATGAGTCAAAACCTTGGTACTCTAGTGAACCCCAAATAATTGGTAAATGGATGTTCATCCTCCCAAATATAGCAAGATTGGTTTTGATACATCCCCACTTGGGTCAGCGACAATGGCCACAACGACTAGGAGAATCCTCAAACATCACCAGCAGTCATCTACGCGTGGACATTAAAAACATTTCCAGCATTGAAATTCACCAATCTTGCGCCATGTAAACCGAGGTCAAGCCATCCTCCATTTTGCCAGATTTTTCCAGGTCAAGTCACCGCAACAAATGCCGGATCTGTTTGAACCGAGGTACACCACTCATGGGGCGAGCGGGAAGCACTTCCCTGGCTGCTTTTTTGGAACGCGAAGCAGGCAGGGACTCTCCATTTTGCGATTGGTGGCAATGACTGGATATATGTGGCCAAAACATATATATTGGGCATGCTATATATCATATATCATATATATCATATATCATATATATCATATATCATATATATCATATATCATATATATCATATATCATATATATATATATCATATATCATATATCATATATCATATATATCATATATATCATATATCATATATATCATATATCATATATATCATATATCATATATATATATATATCATATATCATATATCATATATCATATATCATATATATCATATATATCATATATCATATATATCATATATATATATACATATCTTATATGATTTTATTAATTAATATGAATGAATACACCATTGAGGATGTCACAGTGGGGATGATTTTTTCAGTATATCCAGGTCGCAAGATCCAGGTCTTTTTTAGTGAATCTGTTGCCAAGATTCGATGGAGACTAAGTCATGGTCATCCATTTTCCAAAGGGATGATTGGGGCTATCTTCGATTTTTGTTCGAAAACATTCAGAAAGATAAAGTGAGAAGAGAAGATGATCATCAAATGATTTCTGAATACTAATATAGATACATTAATAGTATGAACATATTTTTCACGATCCCTTTAGATTATCTTTGCTATCATATATGTCAATGGATTGGTTTAAGGGAAAATCTACAGGAAACCATAGATTTTCCCATTAAATATGGGGTTTTCCTGTAACTTTTCCCTTAAACCAATCCATTGAATATGAGAATATCATGTTGTGCCTGAATTAACAAAGGGGGGTCCACCATGGTCCCATGGACCATCCTCAAGGCAGCTGGCGACCAAGGGGGATGATGTAACTTGGAGTATCCAATGAAAGCAAGAGAGACAGACCCTGCACTGCCTGCATGCAAGAGAGTTTACGCACAAATCGAGAAGTGCACATTTTGGAATCCACATTCAACATTTTGATTTTGCATTTGAATTTTCCATATTGCATTGGCTGCGACTGTCAGCTGCCTTTTCTGGTCGAGATCCCAGATCAAAGCGAAAGGTAGAAAAAGGAAGGAGTTTCGTTGCTGTTGGGTTGACCTGGTGAGCTCTGGCTTACCAGGTTATGAGCCCAAGACTAGGCTCCAAGCAATGATGCAACGAAGAAGAGCCACTCAGCAAGAGTTGGATCAAGGGACTAAGGAAATGAAAGATGCGCAGATTAGAATGGAATCTGAAACAAGAGAAGCTGGGGAATTGCCCATAGAAGACAAACGAATAGATGAAAGGGATGAACAGCAAGTAGCTTTGAGGCAGAAAGGTGAACAAGAGGTTGAAGTTTTGAAAAGTGTTTCCCAAAGTCCATCTCCGAGCCTCCCTGTCTCTCACCGCCCTGCATTGCCGTCGACTCCACCTCCAGAGCAGCCACCTGGGAGTTTCTTGAAGAGCTCTTTGGCATCTGAGGGATCCACACCAGCGATCTCAAATGGAGGAGATGGGAAAAGAAGGGAAGAAGGGATAGGTAGTATGCAAGGGAATATGGAAGAAATTCAAAAGGTTGGACATTTGGGCACCTCTCCAAAAGAACTTGCTGTCACCCCTCAAGATGTGAAGTTCAGTGAATTCGGAATGGGACCAACCCCGCTTTTCACACCAGAGCAGATCCATCAGTTCAACCTGCTTCAGCAGCAAGCTCCTTGGCTCTATGGACCAGTGGGACCCAGTTTTTCGACAGTGGTGCCGCGACCTGGTTTTTTGGAGTCAGAAGAGAAGAGATTTAGCGAAGAGCTGAGGGACAGAGACCACCAGCTTTCCATGTTGCACCATAGGATGATGCAAGACCAGAAAGAACGAGAAGAGATGAAACAATTGATGAGATCAATTATGGAAGAGAATCAGAGGCTTAGGTCTAGGATTCATGCCACGGAGGTTCAACCATGTGACTCTGAAGTTCGTTTTGCCACACCTGATAGCCTGTCGAAAGAAAGCAGCGCGGGTGTAAAGAATCTTGAAAAGACCTTTGACAAGGAGGCTGGCAGACCCCCACAGGAGGAAGGGTCAGCAGACCGACAAGCTAAGGAGGCTGGCAGACCCCCGCAGGAGGAAGGGTCAGCAGACCGACAAGCTAAGGAGGCTGGCAGACCCCCACAGGAGGAAGGGTCAGCAGACCGACAAGCGAAGCAGGCTGGCAGACCCCCACAGGAGGAAGGGTCAGCCGACCGACAAGAAAAGGAGGCCGAGAGACCCCCAGAAGGAAGTCAAAAGAACAGCGCTGACTTCAACACTCAATCCATGGAGCTGATGTGCTTGATGGTTCAATCGATGCGAGATTTGCAGAAGAAGATTCAAGATGGACGAGGAGAAGAAGGAAGTGTAATGGGCGTGGAAGTGGTGCGCTCAGGCTCCCCGGATCTACCTGATCTGATGCCGTGGACGTCTGGGACTGGGCCTTTGCAACTTGGAGACTGGATGTTGCTGCTCAATCCCATAATCTCAGACTTGTCCACAACGTCCCACGATTGGTGGACTTTGATGACTGAAGAAGTGGAAGCCTGGTATCGCAAACACGTTTCCATGTCACCTCTGGACAGGCTCAATCATGGTTTTGCGGTGCCTGATAGCCTTCAGCAAGCGCGGTGGCAAAGACTGGAACGGCGTGTCTTCACCATGGTCATGAAGGCGATTCCGGAAGGATGCAAAGAAGAGCTGGTGGCGGCAAGAAGGCTGAATGTGTACGGGGTGCTCACATACCTGTACACAACATACTGTCCTAGTGGAGTTGCAGAAAAACAACACTTACTCAAAAGCCTGGAGGACCCCTCAGAGATCACCAACATACATGATGCCCCTGGTGCCATTCGCCGTTGGTTGCGTTGGAGGCGGAGAGCAGCTGAGGTCGGAGCAGTTGAACCAGATCCGGCCATACTACTGAAAGGGCTGAATCGAATGACCAAGAAGGTGTTGGAGAGTCATCGGGACTTGCAATTTCGAGTCTCTCTTGTCCGCAACAACCTGGCGGTGGACACTACACCAACGTCGGCATCAGTGGATCAACTCGCAGCCCACCTTTTGGCAGAGTTTGAGCAGTTGGCGATCACTGAAAAGAAGGTCATGCCAACACCCCCAAAGAAAGACACAGAAGCTCCGAAGATCAAGGCCGTTGAGGTGGACTCAGCTGAAAAGGGTAAGGGAAAAGGAAAAGACAAAGAGAGGAGCGAAGAAGAGAGGCCAAGGCAGAAGTGCAAATACTATCTCACTGAAGGTGGATGTAGAAAAGGTCGTGAATGCACGTGGTCACACGAGCAAAGGGATGAAGTGAGGAGATGCTATGTCTGCGGCAGCTCACAGCATTTGGCGCCGAGCTGTAATCGACCGAGGTCGTCTCCGTCGTCTCCAGAGAAGTTCACTCCAAAGGCCAAGCAGGCGAAGTCAGAGGGTGAAGACAAGGGCAACAACAAGAAAGAGGCACAAGAAAGTGTCGCATCGTCACCTGATGCGATGAAAGATCTGATAGAAGAAGCCAGCAAGGTCCTGAAGAGCATGTCAACTTCAGCACCGTCATCTGCAGCATCAGCAAGTTCAGGCACGACAAGAGAAGTTGAAGGAAAAGATGAATTGATGGATAGACTTCAGCAGCAGCTGAATTCGCTCCGTCACAAGCAGAAGGTCTTCAAGCTGCAGCGTATGGTGACTGGAGATCAAGGAGGGCTGATTGACTCAGGTGCCACTCATCCTCTACGACCTATGAAAGTTGGGGAGCATGTGGAAAGTTACCCAGTGGTTGGGGTAGCTCTAGCTGATGGACGGCGAACTCAATTGAGGATGTCTCCTGGAAAGGCGATGATCTCGCCAGATGCGTCCGTGGAGCCGATTGTCCCCATGGGCCAGCTTACAGAGAAGCTGGGATGCACGATCACATGGAATGAAGGTCAGCTGGTGGTGAATCACCCTTGCAGAGGGGATTTGAAAGTAACTCAACAAGGTGGATGTCCCCAGGTGAGTCATCAACTGGCATTGGACCTCATTTCTGAGATAGAGGATGCCAATCAAGGTTTGCAGAGAGGGCACGAGATGAGTGATGAACATGCATGGATGCAAGCTGTGGTGGAAGCTCACCCTGTGCTCTCAAAGCTTCCACACCACATCAAAAGTCGATTGCCTGTTCGACCTGGGCAGTGGGGTGATATCCCATGCAACCGAAGATGGAGAAAGGTCATGCAGCGTGATGGATTTCTCCTCCACCTTTATGCTGGGGAAAATTCTGGATTCACTTTTGAGAAGGCCTGGCGTCAATGTGGAGGAGAAGAGAAGTTCCTGCTGGAAGTTGATCTGAAGAGAGGCCCGCAACATGATATGTTGCCGGATGATGGCCTCTATGCTGCTTTGGTCCTCGCTGCACTACAAGGGAAGCTGCTGGGTGTTTTGGGCGGTCCAAATTGCCGCTCCAGGAGTGTTCTCCGGCACTATGACATTCCTGGTTGTGACACGGCTCCTCGGCCTGTTCGTGCTTGGGGAGGTGAAGAATATGGAAAAGAAAGCATGTCTCTGGAGGAGGAAGAGATGGTCAAAGAGGATGACATTCTCCTTTGGCGTCAAATCTTTTTGTTTATGGTTGCCTCTTACTCCCGGCGAGCACGAGGGCATGATCACCCTTTGGCCTTTGTGTTGGAACAACCTTCCTCTCCAAAGCACTACATGCCTGAGGTCGTATCGTTTTGGGATCAGTGGGAATGGCAGGAGATCAAAAAGGAATTTTCTCTGAAGGAAACACATGTCACTCAGAAGAGCCTAGGAGGCGAAGCAACAAAGCCTACAACTCTGGGAACCTCTTTGGACTTGGCCCCTGAAGATTTCCAAATCAAAGGCAGATCACAAAGTGGGGGAGTACGGTCGTCAAAGGATCTTGCTCGTTGGCCACCTGGTTTGATGAGAATGCTCGCATCAGCGATCAAGGAGCAAACTTTGAGGTCCAAGGCCAGGTTGGCCCCGATGTCATGGGATGATCACATCCTTTTCGGTCATGTGCATTATCGAAAAGATTGCAAAGTATGTCAAGAGACATTGCAACAACAAGAACCTCATCGGCGTGCGAAGCATCTTCAAACTGGCACTCTCTCTTTGGATGTCGCTGGTCCCTTCAAGCCGGCGTATGACATGGGTGGTGGGCAAGCTAGATGGTTTCTAGCTGGAGCTCTGGTGTGGCGCGTTCCGAAAGGGACAGAAAAGATGCGCCAGCCCCCAGAGGAGGAGTTGGAAGGTGAAGAGCCATTGATCGAAGATGAGGAGCCTGAGGTTCAAGAGGAGGTAGAAAAAGAAGGTGAAGATTTGGAGGTGGAAGATCAAGGTGAGGAAGCACAGGAGGAGGCACAAGGCGATTTGGAGGAGAAAACAGAGGTGAGAATCTTTCGACTTGCCCTTCCTATGATCACCAAGACTGCTCGTGAGGTATCAGCAACTGCGATGGAGATGCTGATCAAGCTGAAAGTTGATGGCTTCACTGTAGCCAAAATCCACTCTGATCGAGGCCATGAATTCTCTGGTTCTTTTCGAAAATGGGCTTCATCGAGAGGCTTGATTTTGAGCCGAACTGCAGGTGATGATCCTCGAGGAAATGGACGGGCAGAAGTGACTGTTAAGTCAACAAAGACACAGATCAGAAGAGTCCTCCACCATGCGAGAGTCAAATCAGAGTGGTGGCCATGGGCTCTGAGATACATCAACGAGATCAACAGGTGCGTCCGGCTTGATCAAGTTCCATCTTTTCCACCCTTTTTTGAGGAGGTAAGAGTGAGGAAGAGAACTTGGAAGCGGGGGAGCTTTGACCCTACTGTGGACACCGTCAGATATCTGAGTCCATCAGTGGAGGAACATGGGCATTGGGTGTGGAAGGATGGAGAAGCACCTAGAGTCTCAAAAGTTTTGATGAAAAAGACGTCAGAGCCGGTCATGCATGGGGTCTGTGTAGGCTTGGAGACTCAGATCTTGGATGATCTTTCGTCGAGAAGGAGGTTGAGAGAAAAGACATCAGTGAGGAGCTTGGACGCCAGCATGACGTCACAAGAGAGCGAAGAGGCAGAGAGGTGCAAACTCAAGGCAAAGATCCGGAGGATCATTGAAGAGGAGATGCGAGCGATGGTTGAGGATGATGAAGAAACAATCAGAGATGAGATGGCAGTCATAGGAGCTTTGAGAAAGATTGTGGAAAGCATGGATGAGTCAGAGGAAATCTTGCAGACCAAGATCATCTCGCCAAAAGAGGTGTGGAACAACTGGAAGGAGTGGGAAGAAGCTGCGAAAAGTGAGATAAGTTCAATGCTTGAGGAGAAAGAAGCGTTGGAAGAGCTCACAGCAGAACAGGTGAAGGAGGTGGAGAAAGAGCTCCTCAAAAAGGGAGTGAAGCTGGAGTGCATACCATCCAAGGTGGTGTACTCAAAGAAGCCTGCCCCCGGGGGAGCCAAACACAAGGTGCGATGGGTCATCTGCGGGAATTATGAAGAGAAGAGAGAGGATGAACAGACCTACAGCTCTGGCGCAGATGCCACAGCTCTACGGATTTTGCTCTGGCTGGCATCCCGTCTTGGATGGCTTGGAATATCCTTGGACATCCGCACTGCCTTTCTCAATGCGGATGTCAATCAAGAAGACCAGCCCAACTACATCCTGGTTGCTCCACCCACCGTCTTTGTGAAGAAGGGGTGTCTTCCTGTTGGCACTCTCTATCGTCCCAAAAAAGCGGTGTATGGACTGAGAAGGTCACCAAGGTTGTGGGGAGTGTGCAGAGATGGAAAGATGAGAAGTTTTGAGATAGAAGTGGAAGAAGGAGGAGAAACAATCAAGCTGCAGCTGAGACAGCTTGACTCAGAGCCGAATCTTTGGAGATTGGAGAAGCTTGGGAGCGAAGATGAAAATCGAGAGATGAACATCAAGTACGGCCTGGTGATGACGTACGTTGATGACATCTTGATAGCAGCGCCCCCAAAGATTGCCGAAGCTGTGGCGCGAAAGTTCCAGGAGACCTGGACCACGTCCTGTCCAGAGACCGTGGGGGAGGTCCCCATCAGATTCCTGGGGATGGAAATCTCCACTTCCACAGGCATCGATGGTCGTTGCACATGGCATGTGACTCAAGAGTCGTACATCAAAGACATGGTCAAACGTCAGGAAACAGAAGTCTCTTCCAAAAGAATTCCCATCACAAAGGATCAAGCCTCAATGAGCCCAGACCCTCAGACTCCAACCCTCGAAGCGGTGCGAAAATGTCAGAAAGCAGTTGGAGAACTACTTTGGGTTCTGACGAGAACGAGACCAGATTTGATGTACAGTCTGTCCCGCTTGGGATCGAATGTCACCAAGGCCACCATGTCAGTGTTAGAAGCAGCAGACCAAGTTCGAGGATATCTGCTGAGGACTTGCACTGAAGGTTTGGCCTACCACGATGATGGCCAAGAACCAATCAAAATTCAGGTTTTTTCTGACGCCAGCTTTGCCCCTGGAGATGAGGAATCAATTGGATCCTTCGTCATCACCCTCAACAGGTCACCAATCTTCTGGCGTGCTGGGAGACAACACCTGGTGACGCTCTCTACCGCTGAAGCGGAGTTGGCGGAGTTGGTTGAAGCCATGGGTGCAGGCGAGTCGGTTGCTGCGGTGGTGGACGAATTGGTAGGACCAGTCCAAAGAGGAGCTTTCACTGATTCACAGTCTGCTCTGGCCATTGTCTCAACTGACGGAGGCAGTTGGCGTACCAGGCATTTGAGGACCAGGGCGTCCTTTGGCCGCCAATCAGTTTTGTCAGGCCTTTGGGCCATTCAACACTTGCCTGGCGAAGATATGACTGCAGACATCGGCACGAAACCAATGTCCTTGGCGAGATTGGACCACCTCAAGGGGCTCTTGATGATGTGCAGTCCACCAACACAGAAGGTGGAAGATGAAGAGAAAGAGAAAAAGAAAGAATCCAAAGGAGAAAAAATGAAGTCTGCGAAGACCAGTGAGGATTTGTTGAGGTTGATCACAGCGATTGCCCTCTTGAACATGGCGAAGGGAGAGTCAGAAGAAGAAGAGGAAGGGGAAAGATTTGTGGAACTCTGGATGATGTTGGCAGTTTTCGCTCTTGGAACAGTGCTGCTGACTTTTTTCTTCCAATGGCTTTGGAAGGTCGGAGTAAGATGGACGAGACAGAGAAATGCTCTGACTGCGCCTGTCCGAAGTCGCCCTGAAGCCCGAGGAGGGAAGACATCTGGAAAGGAAGAGAAGAAAATTGGAGAGAAAGGGAGAAGTGGCTGTGAGCAGGGGAGGGGTGAAAACCCAGTCCGCCTCCAGCCAGGCTGTGAGCAGGGAAGGGGTGAAAACCCAGTCCGCCTCCAGCCAGAACGTGAGCAGGGAAGGAGCGAAAGCTCAGTCCTCCTCCGTTCTCAGGTGCGGGATGGTGAGCCAGAAGAAGGACCATCTCGAACGCCTGCTGGGCCCGCTGATGCGGTGCGCCCCCAATTCCTCCCTGAAAGAGAAGAAGAAGAAAGCTCCAGCTCAGAGATGTCTGGAGACACCGACTCACAAGATGGAATGGGTCAAGCGGTTATGAATGAGCTGCAGAACATTGAAAGAGAAGTCAATGAAATCCGAGAGCGTCTGAGGTTCAATCCACCAGAAGATCGAGAGGATCTACCAGGTCCAGGTTTTGGTGTGCTCAGAACTCAATATGGAAAGGTCTATCACCTGTCGCATCAGTGCCCATATCTCACCAATCCTCGAGTTGGACCTGCACGCCCGTCAAGGTGGTGTCCAACATGCCGTGAAGTCACTAGGCCAAGAGGCCTTCCGCCACCTGGATTTCCAATTTTGATCACTGGATATCCCGGAAGATTTCATACTGACTCTCTATGTCCTCACAAAGGAGAAGCAGTCCAGTATAGCATGTGCGTGAGATGTCAAGAACGAATCGATGAATGGGCAGCTTGAGCGGAAAATTTTCCTTTTTTTACTTTGTCAGTATGTGACTGACGACCATACTGAGGGGGAGTGCAAGAGAGACAGACCCTGCACTGCCTGCATGCAAGAGAGTTTACGCACAAATCGAGAAGTGCACATTTTGGAATCCACATTCAACATTTTGATTTTGCATTTGAATTTTCCATATTGCATTGGCTGCGACTGTCAGCTGCCTTTTCTGGTCGAGATCCCAGATCAAAGCGAAAGGTAGAAAAAGGAAGGAGTTTCGTTGCTGTTGGGTTGACCTGGTGAGCTCTGGCTTACCACAATGAAACAACAGAATGAAACAAGTCATGGTTGGTCGTTATCAATCCTGAAAATTCATGGTATTAATTGGTATTATCTCATTTTGAAGTCGTCTAGTTTTTTTGATTCGGAACAGTTGGGAGGCATTACCTAATGTTGAAACATCCCTAATGGTTGACATTACCATTAAACCCCAGAAATCATCAGAAATCCCCATGGTGAAAATCCCTGCACCTCTCAGCTCCGATCGCGATCGCGATGTCGTGCGCTGTGATGGGCTGTTGTTTTTTGGGGGCCTGTTGGATGGGAATGGCTTAACCAAACTTTTTATGGTTCGAATGCTGAAGGATCACTGCGAAAACAAATTTAAAAAAAAAAACTTTAGTGGCTGACAGGCTGACATGAACAAAGAGCACATCTCATCCTTTCTGGTGTTTCTGGGGTGTTCCAACATAGTTTCAATGCATATCAACTGATTGTCCATCTTCTTTTTCTAGACTTCTGACTTCGGATATTTGATGTAGACCGCGGCTAGACCAACCAAGAAAGTGCCTAATCTCTCATCCATCTGGATCCATCAAAAAATCTCTGGGAACATAGCACGAGGCGCCAAGGCGCTCTGCTGTGAATGGCTGCAGAGCGAAGCGGTGGGAAACCCGTTGAACAACTCCAACTCTGAGGCGCGGAATAAGAGGGAGAATTCATCGACGGGTGAGGACGCGCCATCCGACATATTGGAATACATATATATATATATTAATATGTATATTTATCATATACACCGAAAAATGAGAATCGCTTAGAATCATCGATCAATAGAATCATCGATGAATCGTCATCGCCGGCATCATCCTCATCCTTGTCCTTGTCCTTGTCCTTCTCCTCATCACCATTAGGCGAACAACCTGCAACAAACGATAAAAAAAGCGCAAATTTTGAGCCACTGAGCCACTGAGGTCGTTACAAAAAAAGAGTTGTGGGCCATAACTCGGTATAACCATAAGCCACAAACTAACTTCATGGGTATAGTCGGTATAGTAGCTTATGGACATTTCAAAGCCAGCTGGGATATATAAGTCCCATTTTTAGTGGGATACTTGGGGTTTCCACCACCGCATTCTCCACCTTTTAAACCTCCCACGGTTTGTTCCAGCCTGGACCAGTCCTGAATAGTGTCACTAAAGCAATAGTGTCACTAAATTTATCATTTTGACTGGCGATATAAACCATGAACATATGGGTGGTCTATGGCATTGCTTTACTAACATGAGTGATGATTAAGCCATGGATTCCAGTGGAATCGTGGTAGACGGGATATTCGGACGAAAGCTTTTCTGGCATTTCTTGTGCATCGCTGTTCACATTGGATACATCGGCGGCAGCTGAGCAATGGACGATGGATCCTTGATGGTCTGATGGTGGCTTAATGGAACACACTGGTCATTGCCATTAGATCGGCAAGTTTTTCAGAATCCCATTACCCAATGAATCACCAGAATTCATAAGATCAGGGGAATTACACTCAGAATGGTACATTTTGCATTAATTTGCCTAGTGAAGTGGTTCAAGTATGTACAAATGTGAGTCCACCTAGTGAAGTGGTTCAAGTATGGGTCAAACATATCACGATAAAAAAAAAAAAACATCAATTTCATATAGGATCTGATTTTAAGCCCAATCATCAATCCACATTCAATGGCTACAATGATCTTATTGTGCTAAACCATGCTAAACCACATGCCATAAGCCATCCACAAAATCAAAAAACAGGCAGGATTTCAACCATCCGCAAATGGTACGTATATTCCACCAGGTCTACCACCAGGTCTACCAGGTTTTCATAAGTCATGGAGGATCTCCAGTCGTCACCAGTGGGGGTACACCCATTTTAGGCAACCCCCTTTTAATAGGCTTTTCATCAACAATGCTTTGTATTAGTCATGGCCATTAATGGTTAGTACAATGGTTAGTACAATGGTTAGTACAATGGTTAGTACAATGGTTAGTACAATGGTTAGTACAATAGTTAGTACAATGGTTGGTCATCATTAACTAATAATTATGGTTATTCATGGGTTTTCATAATTGCAACCACCATCATGTACTACCGGAGTTTTGATCCATTGCTCAACGCCACACTGGTCCACCTGCCGCAAGAAGATCTGCCACGTGCTGGTGACGTGGCATGAGTGCTACAAGGTGCCTTTAAGAGGTTTCCAGCCCATTTGGGAATAGAATATCTACCCTCTGGTAAACTGGTAAACTGTCCCATAACTATGGAAAATCACCATCTTTAATGGGTAAATCAACTATAAATGGGTCATGTTCAATAGCTATGTAACAAATTACCAGAGGGTAGACATACCACCAGATTTGCGAACATGGATTTACCACAGCTGGTTAAGGTCTACACCGGATACTGTATCTTGTTACACAGCCATCCTCTACCGCAAAAATAACAACAACGCAATTTTAACACTGGTTTGGGGTGAGTTCCAAATGTTTCAACATCGAGGAATGACATGGGGATGTATGGAAACACGCGGTAGAGACCCAAAGTTGGTCATTTTGTTATGAACTCCTCCTATTTTAGGTTGGTCATTTTGATCAAGACTCCTATTGTCTGATAGAAGGCCACTGATCGTTTAATTACTTCCACCCTTTCTCTCTGCGCGACGTCCGCTTGGAATTCTTCCGTCTCTTTTCCTGCGGGAGCCAAGAAAAATACCCAAACCAACCGAGCTTAGGAACCGAAAAAGGTTCTACCCGGCCTGGTAAACAGTGGGATTTTAATGGGATTTTAATGGGATTTTAATGGGATTTTAATGGGATTAGTGGAACTGTAAACAAACAGTTTGCTATTGAAAATTGCCATAGAAGTAGTTGATTTACCCATAGCAGAGTGGATCTTTCCAGTTCGTTATGGGAGAGTTTACCAGGCCGGGTACCTTCCGAGAAATCAGCAATAGTTGGGTTCCTTCAGGTTGTCCATGGGATGCCAGTGACTACCATAGGAGGATCGTCCATTGATGTCGAACATAAAAACAATGCGGAACTCGACAGGCTTTACCACATAAAAACTCTTCAAAAAACATGACAATACATATGATAATATGTATATATATACACAATGGATCTTCAATATACTCTAGAGTATACAATGGATCTTCAATCGGCTGATTTATGGATCCCATATATACCACAATAATTTTTTTGGATCTTCAATGCCCTGATGTCTTTCTTTTTGATTGTGACGACAGAAATGCTCCGATGCACGTTGCATCAGAAATGCTCTGCACAGCATTGCACCAAAAATTCACCGGTTTTTCGTTTTTTTTTGAAAGGAGAATCCGTGGAACCGCATTTTTTGGGGCTAAGAAACACCCAATTGCTGATGATGTCTCATTAATCAACGGATATTAATGGTTATTAATGGTTATTAATGGTTAATGGTTATTAATGGCTATCCAATTGATATACTGGTTGGTGGTTGACCTACCCCTCTGAAAAATATGAAAGGCAAAGTTCGTCAATGGGGTTGGGATGACATCCCTTTTTTATCAAATGGAATTATGGAACATCATCCAAATGTTTGAAACCACCAACCAGTGTTGATGTTCCACAATTAATATCCAATATGTACCTCCTGAAGATTCATCATATCAATTTTCCCCCCTCTCCCCGCCTTTTCAGGATCGGAGTCAAGCTCGGAACCCTGGAAAAATGGGATCGGAGAACTGAGCCATTTAAACACATATGACATACCCGGCCTGGTAAACAGTGGGATTTTAATGGGATTTTAATGGGATTTTAATGGGACTTACCCGGCCTGGTAAACATACAAAAAACTATTGAAAATGGCTATTTATGGTGTATTTTCCAATTGAAAATGGTGGATCTTTCCATAGTTATGGGACAGTTTACCAGAGGGTATCCAACACATTGATATACAAACAATCATGGTTTATGATCCACGAGAATTTCTGATTTCTGATGGCCTTTTATTTGGGGCTCTTGAACAGACTCATTGGACAAACGGCCGGCGAGGTCATTTTCATTTGCAATTTGGAACGCTTCTGGCACCTTGGATATTTTTTTATATGGGAACATCATTGGAGTGTTTTTATGTTTTCTATTAACCATTCCATAAAGTATATAACATGAACACCATTGTTATATTTTAACACCACGTGAATCGAGTGGTTTATAGACATTGGATCCATTGGGTTAACTCAGTGACAATTTTTGGCGCTTGGTCCATGATCAAGCTCAAACTTTAGGTTTAATCTTTTCGTTCCTATGAAATTCTTCGATATTTACTAAAGAGTACTAAGAGTTCCTTAATATTGTACTATACGTATATTAAGATTCGATGGGAAGAAACATATTAATTCATTTCAGTTCTTGATTTTCTTACATATCTAATGCAAATAACAATGCAAATAACACTTCGATATGATTTTGAGTAACCCAGCATTTCTAGATCATTTTCCAAGCGCTTTCCATGGCTTTTCCACATTTTTCCACATTTTTCAAGGCCACCTGGGCTTTGAGGAGCACCCGTCGCTGGCGCCAACGAGACAGGATTAGGCGCCGCCGAGCCTATTTTGTCGTGGGAGCGACTAGAAGACCCCCAGAGATGAATTATAAGCCCTGGTATAAGGGATGAATAAGCACCATGAATTTAACTGGTCCAAAAAAAACTGGTCCTTATAATCCAATGAAAAGCCAGTATTTTTAAGAATCAAATGGAAGACTCACCTTGGATGGAATCCCCATTTCTGTCAAGTACATAGAGAATAAAATGCTGGTACTTTAGTAGGACTTGGTATAATACCAATAGGACTTGGGATTCTAATGATTCTACATAAGTAGGAGTTTACTTTTTGGGTGACCTTTAGCAAAATCATAAAACAACGTCGCAGCAGTGGGGATTTGGTCAACATCAACATGTGTCAGGAGCAAAAAAGGGGTAACTCATCAGCAATGATTTGCTTCGAAACAACAAACGAGAAATTTACCAACAATTTGCCATGCGTATGCACAAAAAAGGGGATGTCATAACATGGACGTGTCATCATCACAAATGCGGCAAGGAAACGACAGATGTGATGTAGATCTTTTCTAGAAACATCGGAGATTCGGCCAACAGTGACATAGTGATTTGGCCGGCAAAAAATAGGTTTTCGCCATGAACAGTGACTGTTTTTTGACTATGCTACTCATCTGGTTGATGTGCAGAGCCTGGGTCCTCACGCATATCATCTTCGTAAGTTCGGAAAAATATAAAGACAATCTGAAACCCAAACAGAAATGTTTGGAGGTGGCTCAATTAAACGTACTTCATTTTTGTCTTTTTTTAACTATATTAAACTATGCTTTTTGTTTCTTTGTTCAAACACACGTGTTTTTTTTTGTTTTTCGAAGAAGCCATTCGAAATCCTGTCGTGATACCCGCGCCTGTCGCGCTTCTTGCTCGTGGCAGAAGCGTAGGTGCTCCGCGAGATCGACCTGGGATGATATCAACCATTGTCATGAAGACCATGGTATCAACCCAAACTTTATATCAATGGTTAATAAACATGTTGTGTGTATATATGTTGTGTATATATATATATATGTTATCTATGATATTATTGATCCCACAGTTCATTCCCCGAGATGAAATCAGCAAGTTTCGTAATCGACTTGTGCTTTCTAAACTTTCAAAACCAGCTCTATCATTAGCTGCCATATATTTTTGCATTAATATCTTTGCATTGTATTAATATTTCTATAAGATTTCTATAAGATTTCCAGATCAATCGTGGAAACATTTTCCCCCACATGTTGATGTTGATGTTTCAGCAGTTAGCTGATAGATCTGATAGGGCTTCCCAAAGATTCGGATCATTTCCAATATGCTGTGCCTCATGTTGTGCCTCCCATTACCCGGCCTGGTAAACTGTCCCATAACGAACTGGAAAATCACCATGCTTTCAATGGGTAAATCAACTATAACTGGCCATTTTCAATAGCTATTTTGACATAACCAGAGGGTAACCAATCAACCAGCTGTTTTTTTCGTAGCCGCTACATCAAGTCACCGCACCTGGTTGACTTCAGGGAACTGTTTCTCCAAACGCAAGTAGCACTGGGGTGTGACCTGGCGTGACCACAAAAAACGACCGCGATGGATGTTGATGGGCCGTGTGGTTTTTTTGTTGTACAATGGGCATTCTGGATACCCTCTGGTAAACTGTCCCATAACTATGGAAAATGACAATTTTTAATGTGAAAATTCACTATAAATGGCCATTTTCAATAGCTATGTTAAATTACCAGAGGGTACTTATGTCCAGCGCATCCTCGAATGGTTGAATGATAGATGCTTATTGCAAGGTGGTGCAACCCCCGTTATCAATGGGTTATAATCCCATTAACTATAGATATATCATGAAATATCACCTATAAACCATAGCTGGTTGGTGGTTTTAACCATCTTGAAACATATGAGTTCGTCAATGGGAAGGATTACATCCCATATAATCCATATATGAAATGGAAAATAATCCAAATGTTCCAAACCACCAACCAGATAGTTATTGAACTTATTGGCACCAACTTAGCTGGTTTTTCCATCTCCCATGGCTTGGTCAAAAAGGCTTTGGCGGCTTTGGGTCAAAATTAAAGACATGGACCACAGATTGGTTTTTTTTTGATGATTTACCCTCTGGTAATTTAACATAACTATGGAAAATCACCATTTATAGTGGATTTACCCATTGAAAATGGTGATTTTCCATAGTTATGTTAGTTTACCAGAGGGTAAGTCTATGTTTAGTATTAACCATCCAATCATTGGGGTACCAAAAAAATGACCCATAGCCATATGGTCGATTGCAGTAGCAGTACGAAAAAAAAAAAACACAGAATGATGTGGCGTTCGGGCACTGATGGGCACTGCTAACCTAGACCAAATCATCAAGATGGTAAGGTTACACGCGCGTGTTTGTGTGTCCATTCGCTTCTAGATACCCGCATCTTCACTGGTCATAGTTATATAATAGCTATAGAAATGCTATATAATAACTATGTAAGTTAAATATTGTTATATTAATATAAGTTATATAAGTTATATAAATTATACATGTCATATACGTTATATAAGTTATACATATAGTATCATATAGTTATATACTACTATGTCCACTCCCTCCCAATCGGGACTTGCATTTTCATTCGCTTGGCTGATTAGATCCCAAAGCTTGCCGCTTCCCCAATGGCACATTTATAGATGATGTACCTGTCATGGGAGTTTTCCATGGCTATGTTCAATAACCAAAGTATTCAAGGCTATCATTCAAAGAGTTCTAAATTAAACTAAACAATCATGAATCATACACCTATGATTTCCTATAGATTCCCCAGTTTTCCAAGTCTTTCCCGTGGCCTTGGGGAAGCTCTTCCGTCCCTCAGCAGAAACACAGCGTCCCCGTAGCGTCCCGTGGCCTTCATCCGGAAGCTGCGGAGAATCCGAACGAAGATCTGGCGGAAAAGTCATCGCTGGGAAAACCAGATCAGAGGAAGAGAACATGTTTCTGGGTAAATTATGGGCCATCTATACCATGGCTATGTTAAATAACCAGAGGGTAGAATTCCAGAAAAGCCATGTAGACAAATATCTGGGTAAATTATAATATTTCACTAAGTCACTAACCTGAATCTTGCGGCCATTTGGGGATGATTTCCCTATAAAAACCATGATTTCCAGTGAGGGAGATCAGTGAGGTCGTTATAGTTTACCCAGATGTTTGTGGCTATCTGAGCAATATGTTGATATATTTTCTGTGTATCCATGAGATGGTATCCATGAGATGGTATCCATGAGATGGTATCCATTTTGTGATACAACTCAACCAACAAGATCAAGAGTTCAGGCTGTATCCATGCTGCCGGATTCTTCAAATGATTCATATGATTCGCTTGTCTCTCCAAAAAGTTAGCCTCCGGTTGTCTCTCCGACCGTGGCAACAGCTGGGAACATCATCGGTCATCGGTGGATCGGAAAGGCCCGGTATGGCCCGGTAAGCCATGGCCGATTTCGTTCCCTTTTTGGATCCCTGTCCGGAGCCTCCGGTGAATCATTTTCCCAGGGGAAGCTATGGATCTGACTGGATGTCTATATCGACGACTTGGTGCTTCACCCCAGATTTTTTTAGTTCAGATTCACCCCAGTTAAAAGCGGACCAGTCCACACACACACACACCCACTCAAAAAAAGTAGGGCCAGCCGGGCCACCAAGTATAGATTCGCGGAAGCAGACCAACATTGGATATAGTTGTTGAGTGTTGATGATATAAATCTCATGATATTCCAAATATATTCCTTTATTTGCCTGGTTGCCTACATGGATTTCCAGTTGATTTTTGTTGATTTACCAGAGGGTCTACCAAAGATTACCAACCATCTACCAGCAACTGGCCGCCACGGCCCATCTTTTTTTGCTTCCAGCTGCTCAGCCGCTAACGAAGAGGTCGTATTTCCTGTTACTAACGGTCGCAGTTAAATTGGAGATATCTGACATCCACCAGAATATCATAACCATGAGCAATATTACTATAGATGAGCTGATGAGCTCTGTAATTCCTGGTGAATATACAGATTAGGCTCAATATTAGTAATCTAATATTGAACCATATTAGTCATATCATGTCAGATCTATATAATTCCTACAGGATCATATCTCGGCAGGGGACATTGTGACTTGTAATGATAGTCTGCATATGTATAATCATCCTGAAGTAGAATCTGGAATTCTCAAAGATATTTCTGTTTTCGTGATTTTTTTCCGTTACAAGTCCATGTATATATATATATAAATACATATAGATCATTATCAGATATATTACATATTATATCATATATAATCATATATATATATATATTATATCCTTGTATATATATATATGATAATGATTTTCTTATCCATTTTTTTTCTCGTGATCTCCCCAGGGTTTGATTAATATCATGTCCATCATCCCTTTTCGATGAAGGTTGGAATCTGGGGCGTCCTCAACACCTTGGCGTCTCTTCTGAGAATGGTTATCCCATGTATCCAGAACAGATCCCATGGTCATCACAAAAAAAGGGGCTATTGATCAACCATGAAAGCTTGGCATTTGCACATATATATATATATGTATGTTATATAACTATATATATATGTATACTATTTTCATGGTTCCCCCATTAAGATTACCATCACTGGGGTATCATAAAACAATGTCAGAACATCCCATGGAAAATCCCATGAGTTCATCATCAATTATCGCCTCTGGTACCCTCTGGTTATGACTAACATAGCGAACTGGAAAATCACCATTTTATAGCTAGGTAAACCATCTATAAATGGACCATCTATACCATGGCTATGTTAGTCATTACAGGCCGGGTAATTCATAAGTTACAGCCCGCTATGGATTTTCCAACCGGGCCCAGATTTTTTTGGGGGTCCAAAAAAAGCCATTCAGCGGCCCAGATTAGTCCTCTTCACCTCGATGAAGACCTGCAGCTGTGTTTGCTGACCAAAGAGGTGGACAACTCCAGTGTTTTATGATGATATCATGCTGCTTGGTGGTTGATCTACCCCTCTGAGGTCAGTTGGGATTATGAAATTCCCAATATATGGAACAACAAAATTCATGTTCCAAACCACCAACCAGCATGGGAATGTAGTGGGATATATACATCTATCTATCCATATCTATCCAATGAAATATCCACCATAGTAATGGGTTTCTGAAACCAAAGACATTTTTTGGGTGACAGTGATGTGAGAGGAATCTGATTTAATGAAATATGAACGACAATATACGCAAAAAATTGCTCATCTTCTTCATTGAAAAAGAACATATCAAAGGCAATGAATTCTTGATCCTTTCATACTTGCTAGATACGAAGTGCCAGTTTTGTTTTTTTGAGAACCATAATGTCAACCCTGGGGCGATCAAATCTGATACGAGGCCAGCAATGGACATTTTCCTCCGATGGCCGATCTAGATCCTAAACTACACATCCAGATCCTAGTTTTCCCCACAGTCGTAGCACTATTTTTGGACACTAGGGATAGTCAGTCCCTATCCCTGTATCTCATGAAAAATAGCCAAAAATATCTCGATATTGTTGTTTATATAATATCCAGTCTGATATTCCCATTTTTCCGGATGAACCACCCAGCCACAAATCCAATGACTGTTGAAATGACAGTTGGTGATGTAACATATATATCCATGTCTATGTATATCTATGTATATCTATGTATATCTATGTATATCTATGTATATCTATGTATATCTATGTATATCTATGTATATCTATGTATATCTATGTATATATATATATATATATATTAAATATATCATCATCCCATGAATATCCCATGAATATATCTATATTTCATCATATCCCCATATATATCCATAGTATATCCGATGAATATGCCATGAACTGGCCAAAATCCCCAACTTTTCCCGCCTCTGCACTTTTGGGTTCACTCGCTTCGCTTTGCGCCAGAGCCTTGTCGGGATGGTACCTGTGGCACAGCGGAAACGAAACGCCCAAGGTGTTGGGGAATTTTACGGCCGCCAAAAATGATCCAAACATCCAAAAATGAGGACTCAACATGTGGATTTTGGATGATTTACTGCTAAGAAACACTGAAAGATTTAGGTTCTTGAGGTTTGAAACTAATTGCTGGAACTGGCAAAAGTTCATCTAATGAAAGCAAACGGTACTTGAACTGGCAAAAATTCTGCGTGAACAACACAGTTTTTTGAATGTAATCTTTAATTACAGAAAACACCAGTTGGAGAGACTAGCAAAATCCTAGTGGGAATTTCCTGCATTTGTGACTGACATCTTAATTTTTACTAGATGTTCATTGTATTATATTGGGAATAAACTGGACGCATCCACTTAGAAACACCCTTGAGAGGAATAGGTCCAATGCCACCCTCTGAATCATGGGCTGAATTGCTGAATTCTCACAATGATGTATGATGTATAAATCAAAACTGGTTTGGCTATGGCCATGGTGATAATTTATGATTTGCATCAAGCTCTCTTCGATTTGTAACGGGTTTAAGTCCTGTCAAACATATAGATTCCAGGGATTACATTGTAAACAGTCAGAACCTGGATTGTAGCCCATGGCTATTGCTCTCTCTCTCTCTCTATATATATATATATATATATATCATGCCATCTGGTAATGTAACATTGCCATGGAAAAATCGACACTTCTAGATGGTTTTTACCTATAAGACATTGCCATCTTCCATCATTTTCCATAGCTATGTTACCACAGAGTAGTGGAATGTTCTTTACCTACGAAGACCAGGACCTGTACGTAGTGGATTTTTCTTCGGAAGATCAACCATGCCCTGGTTGCGGCTTGGCCAATCACCTTCAAACTATCAGGGTGTCAATGGGGTTTAAAAACAAAAAAAAATCATTCTTATCAGTCATTTTTTGGATCATGAAAAATCCCAATCCATTCTTATGGATTATCATTATTTTCTAGATTATAGATCATAATTTGGTAAGTTTATGTGGTAATGGATGGATTCATCACCCGAAATTTGTATGGCAAAGTATAGATGTTGGAATCCATCCCCAGATGAATATACATACGAATCAAGCCACCAGATTTGGGTGAATATTAAGTTGATACCCTCTGGTAAACTAACGTAACTATGGAAAATCACCATGTTTAATGGGTCAATCCACTATAAATGGCCATTTCCAATAGCTACGTTGAATTACCAGAGGGTAGTTGATACATCCCATGAAATATCCCTTCCCCTAATATGAAAAACACTCCCATGAAAACCATCATCTATTGTTAGGAGAATTACCCATATTTTATGAGGGGACCTTGAAGAGGGGGATGGGAGGGATTTACCCTTCTCCTATGAAATCACCACACTTCACCAAGACAGGCAGAAAAAAACCCACCTCAACAAGGCGCGTTTCCACAAGGTTTTCTGCAATGCTTTGGGCTGCGACTTGATGTAGTTCTCCAACTTCAACACCTGTGGGACATCCTCCTAAATCAAATGGTTTATCATCGCTTTCCATGAAACTTGCCATAAACCCTGTGGTAAATCCATGTAAATCCTCAACATGACCATCAAATACCATCAACATGGCAATTTACCATGGGTTTTCTTGGATTTTGCCAATTTTGCCATAGATTCCATGGGATTTTCAGGCTTTCCCCATGGGGATTTTGAGCAAATCCCCACCTTCCTTTGCGCCGCTGTCATGGACGGAACAGCGCGGCATGTCGCAGCTGGGCCTGTGCGATAGGGAACAAAAAACGCACGCGGAGGGATCTGGTTGGTTAAATCAAATTGATGGTTCATCTGTGGTTAATACACTGTTAATAATGGTTCATTTATATGGTTATTATATGGTTATTATATGGTTATTATAATATGGTTATTATATGGTTATTATATGGCTATTATCTGGTTATTATATGGTTAATATATGGTTAATGGTTATTAATGGTTATTAATGGTTATTAATGGTTATCCAATTGATATACTGGTTGGTGGTTTCAACCAACCCCTCTGAAAAATGATGGAGTTCGTCAGTTGGGATTATGAAATTGCCAATATATGGAACAATAAAATTCATGTTCCAAACCACCAACCAGCAATGATTAACGATGATGATATCAAACAGTTTCAGGTAAGTTAATCATTGATAATAATAATAGTGATTTATTATACTGGTTGGTTTATAGGGATTCCTGTATTGGATTATTATAATCCCCAATGACTATGAAGGGTAGAAAAAAAATCCGCGAACTAATCATCAACCAACAGGGGTTTGGAACACTGCTCAAGTGAGCTGTGAAGTTAATTTATAATCAACTGATAATGTGTTATAGTAAGTTTCAGCCAAGTGAATAATTATCATAACATAATCAAGTGCTTAATTCAATGTTGATCAAGTCCAATAATATTATGAGTTAACTAATTGATAATACTTCAAGTCATGGTAAATCAATAATATTGCCAATAAGTAAGTCAATTTCAATAACAATAATAGTCAATTAATGGCAATTTATGACAACACTATTGGAATGTTGACATGGCAAATAAATAATAAGAATCAGTAACCGGTAACATTTATCAATGATAATACTTGACTTAACGAATATAAATGGTAAGAATGATAAATAATTGATGGTAACAATAATAGTAATTTGACAACAATAGTAAATACTAAACAGCAACAACTATTCAATACGCTTTCCTCTTCATCATCGTCATCGTCATTTTCTTCTTTATGATGTTTGTCATCAGCTCCAAAACCACCATGTCCACCAGTCTTGAATCATGATCAGAAGGGGGCGTTGAACCAGGCTGTTTCCATGCGTTGCCTATGTTTGGCATGAACCAACATTGGGTAATATTGGGCTCACCCAAATTTCTAGCATCAGGATGCTTACAGTCTCCTGCATAGTGCATTATCTATCAGTAAGGTTATCACCAAAGATGCTTCGAATGTGTGCTTTCCAGCCCTTGTTAAGCAGTGGCCATGATCCTTGAGTTCCTATTTGCCATTGTATTTCCATCTTCAAGAATCCAACCGTTGACCCTTCTATCAATTCAATTCAATTCATTACCCTCTGGTAAACTAACATAATTATGGAAAATCACCATTTTTAATGGGAAAATTCACTGTAAATGGCCATGTTCAATAGCTATATCTGAAAATTGGCCACTCCAAAATTTCATGCTTCATCGATGTTCATCGGTTCATCATTTCCGACATGAAAAAAAGGAGATACATGGAGTCATGGCCACAAATGCCAAGTGACCGCTGCCTTCAGGTCTTTGGGGCTTTCGGGCACGAGACCGGGCCTACGCTTTGGGATGTTTGGGACAGGAAACACGCGAAAACGTGTTCCGCCGATCTTTTTCGGGGATTGGTATGCACAACTCTTGGGAATCTGGGGTTTCCAATGGTGGATTTGGACCCGAGGCTGCTTGACAAATTTAAACATGAGGCAATTGTTTTGAAGAAAAGAAGGATACGAACCCAAATTGTCGGACTAGCGCAAACATACCTTCTGGTAATTTAGCATATAGAAACTTGCCCATTCGTAGATGATTTACGTGTGAAAAATAGTCAATTTTTTCAATAGCTACATTAAATTAAAGGATTATAGACGCAATCTCTTGAGACTTACAACCACAGGGACCTTCATCAGAACCAGACACATTTCCGGTGATGCAGCCTTTTGAGCTGAGTGTAATGAATCATGACACTCAGAAAGCCTTCAATGATATCTATTTAGATGATCACTACAGCACTCAACATGAACAAATCCCAGTGCCAGCATCATGTTAGATTGCCAGAGGGTACATTATTGACTTAATCTAGTTTTGTATCATCCGCTTCCTAGCGTTTCGTGTGAGACCTCGTCCAATTTGGACACGTTCGACACGTTATCAAACAGGTTGGAATGTCACAAAGTACCACGCCTGCCACGCAAAACGACATGAGAACCTGCTTGATGACCTTCAAAAAGGAGAGGTTTTGCAGCTTCCCCCATAGACACGGAATTAACAAGGCCACGACGACCACGACGCGACGGCGACCCGACGAGCAACTGGAGGCGAACAAGGGTCCAGCCCCCAGACCCCCAGACTATAAACGGGAACACTTCGCTACGCATTCGGGAAAAATGTTCCAAACCACCAACCAAATAACTAACCACTATTAACCACTATTAACCATCATCAACCATCATTATCCATTGTATTTGGTGAAATCCCCGTTTTGCTGCTGGTTATCGGAAAAAAAAAGAGACGCCAGGGAGAGTTGATTCTACCACCAATGGCTGGGTCCAAATCCCTGTTTTTGTTGGTGAATATCAATGATATCACCAAAAACCCCGCATTTACTTGAGTAAATCTTCACATGAATCATCAAGAATAGGGACTTGACTTAATTCCATCCACCACAGAGATATATCACAATACTCTGACATATTTACCCAACAATAATCAACATATTTTCTATCAAACAATGGGAATGTCTTCATTGATTCCCATTTTGCAAATTGTTTCTTGGATTTAGCAAATGGCTTAAGAATTTCAGCACTTGGTTTCTCCATGGTTTTTGGGTTTTGCAAATGGTTCCTGAATTTTACTAACTGGGTTGTAGACTTGACAGACTCCCCTCAATACACAGGCTATCGCAGGTACCTTTTTTTATCCTGTATGTATATATATATATATGCCATCCCCCCCTCCCAAAACCTATATTTTGAGTGTATGATGTGACGATTGTGTGACAGATCTGGTGAAAGTCATGGTCATTGCTGTTGAAGATTCCAATGGATTGCCAAAAGAGACATCGGTTCATGAGCAAGATTGAAACATCGGTTCATGAGCAGGTTTTGGGGGTGTGTGCCATATATATATATATACATACATACATGTACATACCTAGCTAGACCCTGCAAGTACCCATAAACATGGTGTCTTACCCCATAATTCTAGTGCTTTTATGATATGTTTTGTGGGCTCACCATACTTCTTTTCCATTGGTTGACACCACCAGCAAGGCGATTCCCAGCAGAGAACCACCTCCTCTTCAGGCCGCATACGTGGACGGAAGAGGCGACACCTGCTGCGAGTTGGTTTACCATAAAGATACCCCCAAAAAATGACCTGGGGGAGTTGGGTGTCCCCATTTTGTTGAGCCAAATCTGACTTTTGGGGCCCCAGACCTCTACAGAATGAGGAACCTGCCGCAAATCTAGCAAGGGGTTTTCTCTACCAGGGTGGCCATAAAGTGAAGGTAGCCACAGTGGGTCCATAAAAATCATGCAATTGCTATGATGAAAACGTAATAGATGGATATATGATGTATAACCTGGAGATGCTGGATTTGAACCAAGGTCAAATATGGTGATATACCAAAAATATTAATCAAGAAGGGGTCCTGTCCTATGTTTCGCTTGTCTCAAACTATCCAAGAATCTAAAAACACCTCATTTTGGTTGGTCCAAATCCATCTGGTGTTGCTGCTCAAAACGTTGCTACCCGCAATAGTTATAGAATGACATATGGAAGACTCACTGTTTGTACTACAATAAACCATGCTGAATATGACCCATTAATGGGTGGTAACAACCATTCCCCAAAGGTAGGTTTATCAATGTTTATCATACATATACGTATATATATATATAGGGTTTTCCCCATCAATTGCCAATGGTGTTGAGTGATCCCATTCTTATATTCTTGAATTTATCATAATTGGCTGAACATAAGAACACTAATGTTTGTGAAAAACATGATACCTACCTTCGAATGTTCGATTCTTATTTGATAAACATGTTTATCAATGATCAAAAGTCATCCCGTTCTTCAATCAATTGTGTCTTCGATTCCGATCATTTTCCCAGGCAGCCTCTCGGAATGGATGGGACGCCCGCAAGTGCAGCCTGGCACCTCTGAAATTTCTGTGGTCAATTTTTCTATGGATATTGGGGTTTCATACTGTGGATGGGCCAGCGAAATCCAAATCACCAGTGGATAGATGGTAAATATTAACCATTATTTATAGGGTTGAAAACCATCCTTTTGTACCATTTCTTTCACCGACAGTTTTTCGTAGGGATATTAAATGATATTATAATGGGATTACTGTATAATGGTTCGAATAGCCTGAACAATTGGGATAAACATCCAATGTTTGATGGTTACAACCTGATTTGTATTTTTTCCGATTAGGATTCAATGGATTGGAGGGACAATTTCCAGGTGATTTCGAATCCCCAAATTTATCAGTTTCCAGTCTCCCTTCAACCAATTCCATGAAGGAAATTGAAGGATATATAATCCCCGTGCTTAATGGTCATAACCTAATCCAGGTTGCCAATTTTATATTTTCAAAAAAGGGATCAGGTGCTTAATTTTCATGGGAGCACCCAACCTCTTTAAAATGGGACCATTTTCCGAAGTAAACTGCTTAGCAAAATCCCGGATGGACCAACCCCCCGGGGTCCCCTCGGCACCCGTTCCGGCGCGCGCCACTCGGGCGCCGGCGAAGGCCGCGGCGCTGGCCGCGCCTGAGATTCCTGTTGCTCGCGACGGCGCTGCTCGGCGCGCTCGCGATGAAGCCTGGTGATGAGGGAAGGGATACCCTCTGGTAATTTAACAGTTTGCTATTGAAAATGGCCATTTATAGTTGATTTTCCCATTAAAAATGGTGATTGTCCATAGTTATGTTAACATGAGGGAAGGGATAGTTTCCATATGTGAATTGTTTTGAATTGTTGCCTATGGTAAGAATTGGATTTTCATATCTGATATGAAAATATCTAGCTATTGTTTTGATAGTTCTAATTCTTGGAATGGACATTTGCTATCAAATTTGGAAAATGGTCATAGCTCCATTTTCGTCCAATGGATCGATCTATCTATCTATCTATCTTTATGTATATATATATACATATATACATATGTATATATATATATTATATTATAGCTTCCAAATATAGCTTTGTGAAATCCATGTGATAATAAATGATACCATTTCAACACCTCTCATGGAGGTGTCCGACAGTCATGGGGCCAGAATCCGCCTGGAATTGGCCAGCTTCTGTCCAGTCGCTTGCCTGGCCGCGAGTACCCCGACAACCCCTCTTTATCATATGGGAGTGGGTCAAAATCCCATTATTATCAATTGGAATGGGATGAACATTCATTTACCATCTATTTTTGGGTTCACTAAGTACCAGGCTTTTGACCCATAGCCATATGTTTTTTAATTGGAATGGCAACTTTAGGGTGTAAAACATTGGAGAATCTTACAATAATTACAATAGTTATAAATAATGTTATATATATATATAGGTATATCACCAATCTTAAGAATCACATGTACCAATGGGTTTTTCATTATTTTTCCAATGGTAATTTTGGAGAACCGATTTCCATCGAGGCTGGATGGTGAACACCATCCTGAATAATTCCATCCATACGTTCCCATCTTCATTGTTCAGGGAGCATCTGCGGGGAAACCTTTTTTTTTTCGATAAAATGGAGATGCTCCTGCAAATCTTCTCTTACACAAAATAGTATAGATCCCCATTCTGGTCGGTCTAAACTAGCCTGCATCCGTTTGTTTTCTTTGTGCATATATAGTGCATGTCGATATTCATACATATTGACCCACATCCGCCAAATAGATCCAAATAGGCTCCATAATAATGACACCTTTTTCACTATACTCAGTGTCATAAGAATCTTATTTCACTGTACTCATAAGTATATACCCTCTGGTAATTTGTTACATAGCTATTAAACATGGCCATAGAAAGAGTGGATTTTACCATTAAAAATGGTGGATCTTTCCATAGTTATGGGACAGTTTACCAGAGGGTAATCCATATATAATCCATATGACTATGGAAAATCACCATTTTTAATGGGTAAATCCACTATATATATATTTCAATTCAACAACCCCATCAGCCTGGCCCATCAAAAAACATATCCGGCCTGCGCAGCTTCTGCCGTACTTCCTGGTGCAGCTCTTCGAGGCTGAAGTCAGCTCCGGATTGCAAGTCCTGCGATCCAACTCACATAGAAAAACACCAAGGGGCCGATGGGGTAATAAGATGGTTTAAACCATCATAAAAATATCATAAAAATATCATCCAAACTTGGTTTATGTAGATGTGACCCAAGTTTGGATGAGATTTTTGGGGTCAGTTTTAGGATTTTTAGGACAGGTAGTTTAGCCCCTGATAACAATTAATCTGAAGTACACCTAAGAAATACACCTTTGACCCATTCTTGCATGATGATATTATGAATTATTATAATATGGTTGATAGTTGATAAAATGTTCTTCAATTCCGAGATATTTAAAACACATCTGGGGTCGTATATGGGACATGAATAATTTCTCGCCTGTCGGGTTGGTTTACAACGCATTCTTAGACACCTCTGGAATCAACTGGGCTTGGAGCCGTTCCAGTTTTAAATGGATATAGAGAGGGGTTATATGTATATATAAATAAATAGAACAATATATATATATATAACAATATATATATATATAATGAATATATATTCATTATAGAATTCCAGTTATAGTTATATATCCACTTTTCACTGGACCATATAAGTATTCGCTGGCTGATTCATGGCTTCAAATCTACCCCCAGCTCCTGCAGCATCTTTCTCCACCTATCTCCCTGGCACCGGTGCACGGCTCAAATCTACGTCACTCGTTTGGTTTGAAGATATATACCCTCTGGTTATTTAACATAGCCATGGAAAATCCCTTATACATGGAGGTTTATAGCTGGGAAAACCATCTATTTCGATTAGGGCCATCTATTCCATGGCTATGTTTAATAACCAGAGAGTCTATATATATATATACTTGTATATTATATATATATAGTCATCATGTTTTAATTCATCAAACTCAGTTGGGCATGTCTCCTTTGGCTCAGTTTAATCCCACATTGAGTGGGTCCAACATCCCAGGACATCTCAGCATGTTGATGTGAATTACGTAGAAATCATACCATTTCCGCCAAATCCAATGTGGTCGTGGTCCCAACTCAAATATTGGATGAAGGAAAGTTTTCCCACATGATGTTGCTCCAAATCCAAAGAAATCTTCCCTTCATCCAACTTCAAACCATGATAAATTTTGGGATGTTCCATGATTTCCCCATCTTTTTCTCCCAAAAATCTGGGCCAGCCATTCAGTGGCCGCAGTGGCCAGCTAGCGCTGACCCGTCGCTGGATGGCCTCCCACTTTGGGTTGAAAATCAAATGCCATCCCTTGGCTCGAACCTGTGGCTGAAAACCATGGAGAATGAAAACACACGGCGTTTTGGCTCCTCAATTTGATTCATCAAGTTATATATGTGTATATATGTATATATGTATATATGTATATATGTATGTACGTATACATATATATATAGATACATAGATAGACGTATATGTAATTATATTGATGTCTATTGTGTATATATATATATTATATAAAATATGTAATGCTGGATAGGGATAGTGGATAGTTATAGGCCATTTAGTAGAATTTGTTAGACCTGCTACATGCTAACAGCTCGATCCTGGGGTTTCCGCCCGTCTTTTGGAGAAATTCTGCGGAGGGAAGAAGTCTTGCACCAGTTGGCAACTATTGGCAACTATGAAACACTGCATATATCAATGGCCATTTCAGGAACCTAAATTGGAGGTACCTACCATATATAAGGCCTATATAAGGCCTATGTAAGGGAATATCCCCACAAAAGAAAAAAGGGTTGTTTACCATCTACCAAACTGGTGCAGGATCTTGCAACCATCCACAGTACCCTCCAGTAAATTAACATGGACGCCAGATAGGGGTTGGAAGATGATCTACTCAAAATTTTGTGATTTTCAGTCTATGTTAATTTACCAGATTGTATATGGAGGTTTCCGAAAATGGTGGTACCCCTACATCATCCATTTTAATGGGATTTTCCATAATAAACCATCCAGCTCTTGGGGTATCATCATTTATGGAACCCCCCTTATACAGAGGGCCTGCAAGATGATTCACATCGTTCGGAACGTCGGATCCCTTCCGCCAGGAAACCAAGTTCACCAGCAGCCCCTCGGCTACCAGCTGTGGCAGGTCTTCCTCTGCAGCGGCCGCTAACCTTGCCACCCACAGAGGCTACCACAACAAATCAGCAGTTGGGATATGGAGGTTTCCTGAAATAGGGGTACCCCCAAATCATCCATTTTAATAGGATTTCCCTTATAAACAAACTATTTTAGGGCACCCCCATTTATGGAAACCTCCAGTTGGGACTAATCATACCCATGATTTCTGGGCGGTGGAGAAAAAGAACAGAGGAAGGAATCCAACCCAAAAGTTATGTTTGATCATTCCCAGTAGATGGGCCAGATGTGTTGACGAATATGGAGATCTATTTTGACACAATTTGAATGGTTTTGGAAGCTGTCGATTCTTGAGAATAGAAGGATATGATTAATAAAGTTCAACTGACAGTGTCTGACAATTGTAAACTTGATTCATTGGACATATTTGGAAATTGACTACCAGGGAGCTACTGTATTATGATCAATCAACCTACAATTTAGTTCGTCACGATCTATAAGTATAATGTATAATGGGTGAGTGATGGGAACATATGATTAGCCTCTGGTAAACAAACATGGCCCATGTATAGATGATGTTCCCATTAAAACCTCCATTTATGGGGGTTTTCCATTGCCACGTTTGCCGGACGGTAATCGCTAATCATTGCTATGTCAACCAGGTTGAGGTGATGGGTATCAGTTTCGCCAGTTTATTCTGGTCTTTTTTGCTATATATCCCAATAATCTACCATTCACCATTCATTTACCATATCGGTATGCAAATATATTCCTACACCCCAACCTTTCGTACGCAACTGATCGGAGGATATGAGGACGAGGATTTTCATTTGGTTTTCAACCGGTAGGACCAGAAAGCCTGGATTCAAAAGCTCATATTCTTCGAATTCGTCCACATTGTCAACTGAAGAGTTTCAAAACACTTAGCGTTGATGAATACATCGGGGGTTATGCCGAATACATCCCAATACCATTTGTCGTACATGAACTGGAAATCCACACCAAGAAATATTGTAGATGTTCATCCCATGCATGTATTATCCCGTAGGTTTTTGACACTCAAATGGGGAATACCAGGAATACCTCAAAAACACATGGATTCTTTCTTTCTTTTAATCATGTTGAAGGTCTAGAGTCTAAAATGTCTAAATCCCTACCCGACACAGTTTCCCCATGCGTTTCCACATATAGTAACAATAGGGGCCATAAAACCATCTTTTGTAGCAATATACATCATGGTAAAACATGGTAAACAATCATATTATTCTAAAATCATGGTAAAACCATATACCCTCTGGCTATTTAACATAGCCATGGAAAATCCCTTATAAATGGAGGTATTAATGGGAAAATCATCTATAAATGGGCCATCTATACCATGGCTATGTTAGTCATAACCAGAGGGTAACACCAACATTTTCCGAGCACCGTCTCACCGGGCCCGTTGGCCTGGCTCGAGCCTGGGCTTGATCTGAATTTCAGGTGGATAATATGGAAACCGATGGTTAATGATGGTTAATGATGGTTAATGTTAGTGGATGTATACTAAATATATGGATGTATACTAGCTAGCTAGTGGTTGGGAAACTCTTGGTAGCTCCAAATCGCTCCCCATGAAAAATAGAGAATATGAATACCCATAGCTGCCATAGCTCCAAATCGCGCCCTCCTAACCGCTGGATTTGTTTGCCAAAATGGATTTTTCATCCAGGCCGAAAGCATATCTCAATATTGATGAGTCATTTTTGGAGGAAAACACATGAAAACACAAATTTCAGGGCTGAAAGCTACATGACTCATGGCCCATTCATTTTTTAAAGCAATGTTTCATGAACAAAAATCACCAGGACGACCATAGGTTTTGGAGCACTAAAAATCAAAGCATCAACCAATCCGTTTCTCATCTATCAACCCCTTTCTGACAGTCACGGAAGGAACTTTGGACTTTCAAAACCAGTGAGCCGAAATGAATCAAGCCTGATTGCCGGCGCTCAGGAAGCATGAACCATTTGCAGGTGCTAGAATTCAAACAATGGGACGCATCATGACACATTCCATTGTCATGGCAAGGGACACTTGCTTTCGGGTCTTCTCTGTCTTCCTCATCATTCCGCTCTGGCGGTTTTTCTGTTGGTCCATGTGGTTCTGAAGACAACGGCACCTGCACATGTAAAAGGACGAAACGCTACGAATTCTTATCATCAAGGGACCTGCACGGAAAGACTAACCCGCAGTTCACGTGGCATAACTTCACAGGTTACCTCACACTGCGCTGAAACATCTCTGAGCCTCTTTGGGTGTCTCTTTCTTTGGTCTCCCTGGGCCGCGATGGACCTTCACCTCATTTTTTGCGCAGCTCTCAAGCCTTCTGCACACAGAATTTGAATGGGCAATTGGAATGACAGCCCCTCAATGTTTTGGATGTCTACAGGTTCTGAAACGCAAACACTGACATTGTAGATTCTAGATTGAATTGTAAGCATGGTCACAGCCAAAGCACGGCAACAAACCACCATGAATCAAAGTTTCATGGCAGCCGGAACATGAACACACATCTTCATAATGAGGTAAACCCAAGAATGAACCATTCCCAATTAGAGCTTATATGAGTTTATTGATGTTTATTCGGTAATACCTCTTGGCTAACGGGATGGTTCAAAAACCACCAGTCATGGTTGGTTTTCCTGGGATGGCCACAGAGTAAGTGCTGAGCAGCTTCATCCTTGTGCTCCTTGTCCTTCTGCTCTTGCTCCAGCGGTCCTTGCGCTTTTGAAGACGGCACCTGCACATGTGAAAGGCAAGGCCGGAAACAAACCTTGATAAAACCCATCCAAAGAAGCATCCTCAATCCAGCCAAAAAAACGTAGTCAATCACGGAAGTGGAATTTCCAATCTAGTCCCTCGGGTAAAAAGACGTCACTTCCTTCGCGGCGCGCCTCTTTGGGTGTGTCTTTCTTTGGTCTCCCTGGGCCGCGACGGACCTTTGCCTCAGTTTTGCTGGAACCACTGGAGGATTCACTCGAAACATGCGCCCGAAAAGACAGAAACATGACATCCTTCTAAAATAGAGATGATATGTGATTATGTACACCATTATCTTTTTGGGCATTAACACCATTAACATCATTAACCATTGAAACAATCACTTCCGTCTTTGCGGCAGAAATGAAACTGCTGGGCTCAGATACATTCTCATCTTTCTTCTCTGGCTGCTCTGCGGGCTTTTGCGCCTCTGTAGACGGCGTCTCCTGCACTTCTGGAAGGTTTTCGATGTTGAAAAACTCTGCCAGAACCCATTCACCCAACCATTCACTAAATAGAGTCTTTTCTCTGACGCACATAGATCTAATGATCTAGAACAGTTTAGAGTTCATGTGGCAATCTGACATGATATTCTCAAATATGTTGGACAGAAAAACCACAAAAAATACCCTGTAATCATCAACCAACCATCATTTTTCAATTACATATCCTGATCTATTGATAGTACAAGTCGCTATTAATCATGCTTAACATATGGTTAATATAATCATGAGACAAAAGGCGTTGAACACAGCCACTACTCACTTCATATTGGGCGGTGCGGTGCCTCATTCTTTGGTCTCCCTTTGCCGCGACCTCCACCTTTCGCCTGTGAAACATCGAAAACCAGCAGGTGACCCGGCTGGGCATCAAACCACCAACATCAAACCATGGCTAATCCGACGCGACCGTAGATCTTAGTTGGTTGGGACATATTACCATTTGTGGCAACGGCAACATCATATATATATGTATATATATATATTGCTTATATATATTGCTTATATATATATATTGCTTATATATATATTGCTTATATATATATATATATACATATGTATATATAATATTCATATATTATATCCCATGATATCCCCGCAGAAAAACATCCCACGAGTCACCAATTTTCATGGTTCAATCCATCAACGGTCCCGCCAAGGCCACCTCCTTAGGCGTCGAACTGTGCGAACTTTTCCGCGGTCTCTTCGCTGGGCCTTCTGCCTGCGGAAACGAGAAACTCTCCGTGGCCACCGTGGCCATTTTCGAGGTGCGAACGATACACCCAAACATACATATATAATATTCTACAAATCTCTATAAGAGGACATTCATATATAAGGACAACCATTGGCAACCATTGGACATCATTGTACAAACAATATATGTAAGAGGACATGAATCACCAGAGGTAAATGTTAGAATCTTCTGGGAACACGCAGCTAAAAATCATCCAAAGTTTCCAAGAATGAGCCAATCCAAGTCGGATGTCACCAAGACGTCCCGTGAAGTGTTGATGAGAGGATCTAGGATCTAAAGGATCTAGCTCATGCCATGTCTTTCCTCCCTTAACAACGAATTACGTCTAGTCATCATCCATTATCATGTTCCCATCAAATGATGGCTTGTCCCCCATGCGATCTTGGATAGATCATGATTATCAATGATAAAACATGATGAATCCTCAATTTTATTGGTTACCCTCTGATAAGTCAACATAGCCATGATTATCACTATTGTTTTTTGCTAAATCATCGAACTAAATGACTATACGTTACCCATTTTCCATATAGCACACTGTTAAATCACCAGAGTGTGGGGCATTTATCCTTGATCTCAGATAAATCATGATCAAGTCAACCAGTTCTCGATTTTCTTGGTGAACCATAGTCAACTCCCCCCATTTTTTGTGGATATCGCAGCCCCAAATGTTGGGAAAACCATTCAAAGGGGCCTCGCCAGCGGGATTTTCTTGCGCACCTCCCAGGCCGAAATTGAGCCGGTTCATGCAGTTCATGCATTTCTATGGGGCCAAGAAACCAAGAAAATACCACATGCCTGGGGGATGAACATCCCAAAAAAACACCAGGTTCGTTGAGGATGTTGATCTACTGAAAATTGCTACCATGCCCAAATATCTTCGTTCTGTTTGAAAAGACAACTGTAAACATAGAACAAACAGGTCTGGCAAACTTTGGGATATCCGATGGCTTTTCCCTTCGACAAACCCAAAGGTCTTATGACTTATGAATTCATCCACATAATTGACATAGGGGTAAAGGATTGCTGATACATACATAACTGATTGGTGGTTTCGAGGCACAAAAAAATCCGAAAATCCTTGTGGATCATTCATCATCCATCATCATCCCAAACATCTGTGGTTGACCAAAGTTCTATGATCAAACAGCCAACAAATGCTGCAAGAATTCTCATAAATTAGATTACAGTTATAAGCTATAACCTTAGTTGGGTATTATATAATATTCTGATATTGCCATTGTTATCCCCCATTAAATGCCAAGATGCTAGTAACTGCTAGTAGTGTTCCTTACATCCATTCATTTTAGAATCAAGTATAGCATCCCAACCATACCAATGTTGTACATCATTAAACCAACACATCACAACAATGTTTTTTGTAGAGTCATCCCAAAAAAGATCAGGAAGAACATCAAGGAACAGCTTAAATTATCACTGTTTCAGCAACTTACTATTCTATCTTTTCAGGGATAACTAGATTAACTAGATCCCATTTCCATCTATTTCCATCTTCCCACGGCTCCCCCGTGGGACGGCCTCTCTGCCACAGATCGCGCTGCAGCTTGGCCAAGAGCAGAGCTAAACGCCAGGAGCCCCAGGAGGACAAGCTGAACCAAGCGGATTTGCCTCACCGATCTTCACCATTTTGACGACGGAAAATGGAGGGTTTCCATGAGAATTGGATCCATGGAGGTTTCGTTTCGTCAGTGGGGGTACCCGAATGGCTGGATGGTTTATAAATGGAAAAACCATGTGGAAATGGATGATTTTGCTGATTAGGAATTCTCATGAATTCTCCATATGATAGATGGTTTTTCATAGATGGTTAGCTGAATGTTTATTCCCCCAGTCATATTGGGTAATAGGTAACTTGACCCATCCCCAGATATTGGGATATATTGGGATATATTGGGATCCCCTCTGGTAATTTGTCACATAGCTATTGAAAATGGCCATAGAAATAGTGATTTTTCCCATTAAAAATGGCGATTTTCCATAGTTATGTTAGTTTACCAGAGGGTATCCTGGAGACTGGACCCGATAGTGTTGGAGAATAAACCAATATCCAAACAACATAATGTTCCAATGTCCCATATACAGAATATATTACATCACCATATGGCATATATATCAACAATATACAATAAAAAATGAATAAAATGTTGGAACATGGAGGATTTAACCAACTCAAAGTTACGGGGATTTAATGGATATCAATGAGAATAGACCGGGATATGTCATGGATTTTTCATTGGAGTATCTGACGGACACTTTTTTTGAGTGTGTCTGCAAATGGGGCTGAGCCTCAAATGTCATTTGGGGATGGGTCAAAACCTTGTACCCCTGGTGAACCTCAAAATAGCTGGTAAATGGATGTTCATCACCCTAAAAATGGTACTTATAGGTATTGATCCATAGCCATTTTGCAATTGGAGGTTTCCTAAATTGGGGGTATCCGTAAATCACCCATCCTAATGGGCTTTTCCATTAACCATCCAGCTATTGGGGGTACCCCCATGACTGTGGAAACCCCCGAATGCTGTTTCCATGATCGGCATCAAGGTAGAAGAGATTGATGCTACCATCTCGTTATTTAACATAGCCATGGAAAATCCCTTATAAATGGAGGTCTTGATGGGAAAATCATCTATAAATAGGCAATTTTCCATGGCTATGTTAAATTCCCAGAGGGTAACTAATACTGATCCAGAATTTTGGGACCCGAAAAACCACATCTTCAAAAATGGCTGCGAAATATCCCTCACCCCGTTCTAACGAAACCCCCGTTCAACGAAACCATCTGGTTTCGTAGGGAATTTAACCAAACCACATCATTGGGACCATGGTCTATGGGGGTGTGACAAATATTAAGGACACTTCAGTCATCTACCATCATCTACCACTATAATGTGTAGGTAAAACAAAAATTACTTTACTTCGTGTGATCCCCACCATGACATTTATACATTTTCTTACTGGCAAATCTTCTGGCATTCTATCTGACATATCTTCTGGCTATCTCTACTGACATATCTTCTGACATTCTATCTGGCATATCTTCTGGCATATCTTCTGGCATATATATCTGGCATATCTTCTGGCATTCTATATCTTCTGGCATTCTATCTGGATCTTCTGGCTATCTGGCATATCTGGCATATCTTCTGGCATTCATATCTTCTGGCTATGACATATCTTCTGGCATATCTGGCATATCTTCTGGCATATCTTCTGGCATATCTTCTGGCATATCTTCTGGCATATATATTCTGGATCTGGCATATTCTATCTGGCATTCTATCTGGCATTCTATCTGGCATTCTATCTGGCATATCTTCTGGCATATCTTCTGGCATATCTTCTGACATTCTTTCTGACATTCTTTCTAACTTTCTTCTGCACATTCTTTGTCCCATATCTTCCTACATGAGGTCCGGCAGGGAACACTTGGCGTGGATACTCGCGGTTGAGGTCCGGCAGGGAACACTGGGCGTGGATGGTCGTGGTTGAGGTCCGGCAGGGAACACTGGGCGGGGATGGTCGTGGTTGAGGTCCGGCAGGGAACATTGGGCGTGGATGGTCGTGGTTGAGGTCCGGCAGGGAACACTGGGCGTGGATGGTCGTGGTTGAGGTCCGGCAGAGAACACTGTGGATCGCGGGTCGCAGTTGAGCAAGGACGACGAGGACGACGAGGACGACGAGGAGGACGAGGAGGAGGAGGAGAGGAGGACGAGGCAGGAGGAGGCGGAGGAGGAGGAGAAGGAGGAGGAGAAGGAGGAGAAGGAGGAGGAGGCAACTGACATAAAATCTAACAACCCTCACCTGGCAGGTGGGGAATAAACCATCCCCCAAATCACCAATATTAAGTATATGGGATGAATATGTCTGATGGATTTTTACCCTCTGGTCAAGCTGGAAAATCCCAGAAAAAAGGTCGAAGGATGAGATTTTCTCATCGTTGCCTGGTGGATTGTCCCATCCAACTGGAATCGATGGATTGTTGTCACGCAGTGAAAATGATGGTAATCAAATCCATCATTTCACGGTGATGACATCAATTTGATGGTGATCAAATCCCCAAATTCTTGATGAAATTCTGGAAGTCTGAAAATCCATCCCCAAATTCCCATTTTTCACCATGTTTCATCATGATTTCCTGGTATTTGTTCATCATTTTTCACTCTTCAATGGCTATGGGCATACCTCATTTACCCCACCACCACGCTGCCTTGTCCTTGTGCCACCCACCCTGCACCTGGCTCAAACATCAATGCATTGGTTTAAGGGAACATAAAAACAGGAAAACCCCTAAAATTGAAAGGCAAAATTGATGGTTTCCGGTGAAGATTTTCCCCAACAAACCAATCCATTGTCAAATAAGGCTTGGAGATTTTGTTTCTGGGGAATCATTGATGATCATTTGAGGGGAGACCGGGAGAACTGTTCCTATGTTGGGACTATTGATTCTTGTTTTGGGGATCATGAAAATGCTGCTGTTTGCTGGAAAATTCTAAGGTGCCAGTGATGAGAAAGTATTTACTATTTACCCTCTGGTAAACAAACATAGCTATTGAACATGGTCATTTATAGTTGATTTACCCATACAAAATGGTAATTTTCCATAGTTATGTTAGTTTACCAGAGGGTATAATCTCAAAACAATAGGAATTTCAGGGATTCTGGGACCATAGTGATTATGTCCAAACTCAAGATGAAATCACCAAAAAATTCTCAGGAAACGTGGGCCAATTCTACCAAAGGTGGTTTATCATGATTTCCCACAATTGCAATACATTGACAAGGCACCTTTGTGTTGAAATCACGGTCAAAATGCTGAAATCTCCACATTTAATGGCAGTTTAAATGTGTTTAAGAAGCACACATCTTTGTCTTTGGATGCTTTTATATGGCCTCAAAGTGCGGATATATCCATGAAGCAGTTTCATGATACACACAAAACTATAAAGTTCTATGGTTTATCACTAATTTCCCATTTAATGACCATAAAAGTTGAGTTAAATCCCTCATTTTTTTGAGATTGTTCTCCCCATCTCCAGTTCATGGTGATCTCATATTGTTGGTTATATAATAGGCTATATACCTTCTGGTTATTTAACATAGCCATGGTATAGATGGCCCATTTATAGATGGTTTACCTATAAAAAAATGTGATTTTCCATGGCTATGTTAGATAACCAGATGGTATCTCATTACATCTTGTTAAATCTACATTACATCTCAACATCGTGGTTGGTTATATATCCTATGAACATCTATGAACTATTTGCGCAGGACAATTCCAAAACATCCCATAAAACATGTCCATGAATTTCTCAATTATCCAATGCATTCACTTGAATCTAATATCATCAGATTCCAGTTTTTTTTTTTTAAACCATAACATCCAAAAATCAGCAATATTTATTATGCTAATTAATAATCATCCATTGATCAACGATCTAAAATCATCTATTTATCAACATTATATCTATAGATGATCATAGATTATTTGTTTAGAAGTTTAGATGATTCTTTTCCATTATAAGCCAATTATTAATATTATATCTGCATATTTAATAGATCATTTTTATACGGCCGTAGATGAATCCATTATTGATCCATGAGCATATATTCATTAACAATATATCCATGAACAACATATCCACATATCAATCATCCATATATTAGTCCATTTGTTAATACATTTAGATGATTATTCATTGTTATTATTATCATAATCATTATCATAATCAGCGTCATTATTGCTATTGTCATTATTATTATTATCATTATATATTATTGTATTAGTCCATTATTATTGATTAATGACATAGATGATGATTCAGAATTATTGTTATTATCATTATTGTTATTATTATCATTATTATTACGATCAATATCATTATATTTAGTATATTAGTCCTAATGAGGATGATCCTTCATTAATAATCATAGATCATAGATGATCATACATCTATATATTAGTAGATTACATTCATGTAATATATCTATATATCCATGAATCCATCATTCATCCATTATAAGCCTATATACCCACGAATCACATATCCATGTATTAATCATCCATAAAGTACCATGAATTCCATATATTAATAAAATATTCATATATTTATTCACCATATAGTGCGGGTAGAACAATAATAAATCATCCCCCAAATCACCATACATAGGTGGGATTCCAACCATTCCCGAATGGGTGGTTGATTACTGTTTGACCAACATTATGAATAATAATTCACCATAGATAGCTCCATACATTCCATAAAATCTCCCATTTATTAAACCATAGTATTACCCCATAACAATTCATCAGCTATTAACCATAAAATTCTTATGGTCTAATGGAATAATTCACCATAGTATTCATCCATAATAATTAGCCATTGATTTTCCATGAAAAATAATTCCATCATTCCATTAACCCATAGTACCCTCTGGTAAACTAACATAGCGAACTGGAAAATCACAATTTTTCATGGGAAAATCCACTATTTCTATGGCCATTTTCAATAGCTATGTTAAATTACCAGAGGCTAACAAAAAAACAGTAATTTACCAATACTACAAAAAAACATTGATACTAACCATGAAAATAACCACTTAAATAACCATTGATACTAACCATTAATGACCATTTTTTGCCCCAGCCATGGTGCCTTTCTTATCTTCCCAGCATCGCAGCTGTGACAACTCGCACTCTTCGGCACGCAGCCCCGGAGAGGCCGGGAACGGGTGCTGCGACCTTCTGCGCGGTGGAGCAGGTTCGGTTCCGGTAATGGTGTTTTTTTTGGGTGAAACAATGGTTATTTATGGTTAATTGATGGTTAATTGATGGTTAATTGATGGTTAATTGATGGTTAATTGATGGTTAATTGATGGTTAATTGATGGTTAATTGATGGTTAATTGATGGTTAATTGATGGTTAATTGATGGTTAATTGATGGTTAATTGATGGTTAATAGTGGTTAATGGGTAATGGTTAACACTATATAATGGTTGATGATGGTTTATAGTGGTTAATAGTGGTCAATGATATGTGTATATATATATATATATTTAATCATGGTTAATAGTGATCAATGGTAATGGTGAATGATGGTTGATAGTGATTAATAATGGGATATACAATAGTTAATAGTGGTTAATTAATAGTGATCAATGACATATATATATATATCCCTTTACCCAAGTGGGAGTTTCGATAGTCATGGGGGATACCCAAGCTCGCTGGTTGGTGTATTTCATGGAACTCATCGAAAATCCCTATGATTTAACCTGGATGATTTAGGGATACCCCCATGACTTCGGAAAGCCTCATATGTCATATGACACTTTTTTGGTTTATACATGGGTTTAATGTGATAGACCCAATCATAAAGCATCCCCACAATCACCATAAATAGGTGGAGCACATGGAAATGATGCTTTTGATGGAAGTTCAAACATGGAAATCATCATGAAATCAGGCCATAGTTGGACTTGAATGAACTTTTGGAAGCACCCAACCAAAAATTGGTGCTTTGATGGGGTTTCTATTCTGATCATCAAATGATAAGGGGATTGGAATGGTATGTACTGTGCGATGCGCGACAAAGTCGGCGTTTTCGACAATAGGCGTTTTTTTTTGGATCTCAATTGGAACTTCGAATCCTGGAAATAGTGGGGAATCCTCTCGTTGTTGAATTCAATCTTTTTTTGGGGAGACCTCTATGCTGAGGAAAGTTGTGATGAATGTGGACCGACTCGGGTCTTGGATGAGCTTCTCTTCAAACCATTGTGATTAGCAGGTTGCGAGGGTACATATTGGGTTTGGTACCTGAAGATTTCGGAGAAAATCCACCAATCTGAGGGTGTATCATCACTTTCCCTATCAATGAGCAAAATTGGAGGTAAATCGCCCATTTTCAGACGCAACTGGCTTCTCTTACATGTTGACTTGCATTGACTTTGAAGATGTATGTTCCAATATTTCCCACATGGCTAATGTTGAAAATGCTAACGCTTAGAAACTTTTGAAAGCCTATCAGTCCATGGTCTCATTTATGGCAAAGAACATAAGCCACTAGTCTCAATGAACCTCCCAAACCAAAGTTTACTCTGGGGGCAATCAAACATATCTATGGAAAATAGATCAGTTTTCACCAAAAAAACACATCTGACTTCATCTGACCCATCTACCCTCTGGTAATTTGTGACATGGCTATGGAAAATGGCCCATTTTATAGTTGATTTACCTATAAAAACATGGTGATGTTCCAGTTCGCTAGGTGAGTTGACCAGCGGCGACCCCTAGCGCCGGGGCGGCCAACTCTGGGACATTTCTCGGGATCACCGGGTTCACCGAAAGCTCGAACCGCGCCTGTCGCGCGATTCCGCGTTGAACTTGGTGATGAATTCCACCTAAGCTGCCGAGTTGTGTCCGGAATGAGGTTGAGTCTGTAAGGGACTATCCCAAAATATGGCCAAACATATGGTACTAAATAAGTACCTCCATGAATTTTGGGATCCTGAATTATTCTACCATTGATGAGATGTTGGATCCTAAACCAGGCCACGAATTGGCACAAAATGTTGCTATGGATCCATATGGATCCAGGTCAGATTGGGATCATAGCCGAATCTCCGGTTGCAGCCCAACATCCAGAGATTAAGTGGATATATTCTCCAAGGCAGCATCGCATCGGGCTTTCAGTACAACGGTTTTCTAATATCATCCAATACCTAGTAATTGAAGTTGAATGAGTGTACACCTGAAGATTGGTTGGTACCGTTTGGAAAAGGCCGGACAAGAAAATTGCAGTGGATCAGTGCCCTGACACCCTGGCGACCATTCCACAGTGATCAGCAACCAAATTGTGGGGCTCTTTGGTGACCCATGCCTTTTTGGGATACATATTCGGGGGTTTCCAAAAATGTTGCTACCCCCCAATCATCCAAATTTTAATAATTTTAATAGGATTCTCCATTATAAACCCTCCAGCTCTTAGGGTGCCCCCATGATGGAAACCTCCATTTCTGTAGAACATTCCACTGTTTCGTCAAATGGAGCCCATCCCTGGGAGAAAGCATGGAAAAACCCCGGTTGTGTTGATTCAATACGTAAGCGCAACGTTTTGGGAAGATCCAAAGCCTCAATGTTTGTAGTTGAACTGCCCTTCTGGTCATGTTCTACTCGTGTTCTCCAATGCTTCGTCGTAATTAACAACCCGCATTGTGTCAATTATATATATATACATACCATACACACATACATACACATATCATTGTACATGAAATATGTGTTTAGACATACTCTTTTTATTTTTTTTCTTACTTGTTTTATTTATTTATTTTTTTTCTCTCTCTCTCTCTCTCTCTTTCTCTCTCTCTCTCTCTCTCTGTCTCTCTCTCTCTCTCTCCATTTGTGTATATATATATATACGTATATACATACATATTATATATATATATACACACACACCGCACAGCCCAAGCTGATTCCATTTTTCCAAGTGGCATAGGCTAAATTTTTCAACCTTCCGCGTGCATCCACCACCGCTCCCTCCACGGTGAAGAGGGGCCCCAGGGACTCCGACATGGCGGCGGCGCTCGGGCGCTCGGGCCGTGGTTGAACCAGCCACCCTTGGTGGTTGGCTGATGAACATAGGCATTTCAATAGGAATATCACCATTTTATGAGGATATAGTGAGGATATATGTATATATATTATACCAACCATATGAATCCATATGATGCTTTGGGTTTCTCTGAAATTATGGGGTTTATCCTCCAACAAAAGGCCATTGCAATAAGGATAAGCAGTGATTTCAGTGGCTTCCATCATGACGACGATTTTCTCGGCTGCAGAACATCTTCCCATCGTCCCATGAGTTCGCTGCTGTTCGTTTCTAAAATTGACCAATCTGAAGGATTACCTAGGCATTACTAGGCATAACTCGGCATAACTCATCAACCAACACCCATGCACGGTCCATTCTTTTGGGCCCAGCTTTCATTTCAGGGCGAGGGGTCGGTGATACCTTCAGAACAGGTTAGTCTGCATTATGCTTATAATATGTTATATACAATGCAAGGGTTCCCGGTCCCCTCCCAAAGAGTTGGGAAACCATGGGCCATTTGATCAGCTTCAGCAGCAAAGGATCCATAGATGCTGGAGAGGATCACAGTTGTGTGTCTTAAAAGTGGCAATACCTCGTAGCGAAGAAATCATATCCATCATAGCTAATCGTTAAACGGTTAAACCTTGAACAGAAAAAAAATCATCGTGCTACTGAACCCGTCAATGACCAGCCATTTTGGGGTTTTAGGGTTGCATCTACATGATTGTGATTTTAGAATCTTCTACACAATACCCTCTGGTAAACTAACATAACTATGGAAAATCACCATTTTCAATGGGAAAACTCACTATAAATGTCAATTTTCAATAGCTATGTTAGTTTACCAGAGGGTATCTTCTTGCTGTTCGTTCACTATTGAAATCACACATCTCCGATATCTGATATCCTTCGGGGAAATTTTGTTGGGTTGGGTGATTCTTTGATTTTCCGTTCATTTGCCTATTGGTTGTGCAAAACGGGGACCTGATTTGTCAACCAACCAGAAGCAGGACATCTAAAGCTACAGCTGTTGTAACCAAAAGCTATATATACATACATATATATATACATATCAACTGCTAACTAAGCTTTGAACCAGTTCCGATTCATGGGACAATCCAAGCATGGATATATCCCCTTATATTCTCATGAAATCAGCTACCCAACGCACATGAACAGTGTTGAAAACCCTCTGGTGCCCCTTTGTACTGCCTAGTTCTGAACGGATTTCCCTGTTCATGGATTGTGACCATCCGCAATAGATCTTGGATAGTATAGCCCCAGAACTAAGCATCAACCAACCATCATTCATCAAGTCTATATTCCCACCTGTTGATAGCTGCTAGCTAAAAACCCATCATCATCATCATCACCATCATCACCATCATCATCATCATCATCAAATCTTCAAATCTTCAAATCTTCACATCTGCAAATCTACATCTACATCAACTCATTAAGCATCGGGGGTTGACTGCAGCTTCCTGCCTCATGGTGTGCCAAGGGCCAACCACCGGTGCCCCGGCCGCCCTGTCGACTGGAGGCTTTGCCAAAAAATTTGGGGATTCGAAGCAAAGGAACATGAAGAATTCTATGATTTGTATGGAAAAATGTCTTTTCCTGGTTTGGTTCTTTCTTGCTGCGAAAAATAACATTTACCCTCTGGTTATTTAACATAGCCATGGGAAATAGCCCATTTATAGAGGTTTACCTATTAAAACTGGTGACTTTCCATGATCCATGGCTGTCCATGGCTATGTTAAATAACCAAAGGGTACCTTGCACAGTACAGTGTGAACCTCAGATAAGACGAAAGGGGAGCGTTTTAGTGGCAAAAACAAACAGTGAAGCAACCCGCTAATTTGAAAACCAGGGTTCAGCTATCAGGAATCGACACTATCCATACAATCATCATTGTTTGTGCGGTGTGTATATGGTCATTTCATGTGTATATATTGTATGCTGCCATGGGACATTGCGGAAATATCTGGATATTAACTCTTTACCATTTTTTCCAAGTATGTCTCAATGATCTTCTATTTTTTGGCTCTTCCTGGCTTGGTGGCATGCCCTCGTGATTGTTGATTCAACCAATTCGTTGGGATTGAAGACTTGATCAATGGTAATATGGAATAACAATGGGGATATATATATATACATATTGTGAATTTCAACATGTTCCATGGTCCATGTCACTCCAAAGCTTCAGGTCCAGACACATATAACATCTACGGCTGTCTGCAGCACTTGGCTGAGGCTAGCCTTAGGGATTGGTGGGTGGGAAGTGCTTGTGGCACCCCATTTGTGCCATTGAGTCGTGGCCGACTCTTATCGCTTGCTGTGGACAGCATTTTGCCGTCGATTGGAGACTGGGACATTTCATTCCGAGATCTGCTGGAAAAGTGTGCGAGGCCGTGCATTGGAGTTTGCATTTCTTGGTGTGGCTACCTTTCTGAAACCCATTCAGATTGGTAGCGGAGCTACCACTAGCTCCAGGGTGCCAATTCAATTCGTGCAAGTGTGGCGTGACCAATTTTGAGTGACGCACCATCCAGTTTTGAGCATGAGTGCCGAGACTGAGGAAAAGGCGACGACCAGTGTTTCGACACAGCTTGCAACACTGGTACCATCGTTTGACCCCTCAAAGGACGACCTAGAGCAGTATGCCCAGAAGATTGAGATGTTGGCCGACGTCTGGCCGAGTGACAAATTGAATGAGTTGGCAACTAGACTCATTCTCAATTCGACTGGAGCAGCATTTCAGAAGCTGCAACTGCAGAAATCTGTGATTCTGACAGGTACCAAGGCTGGCATCCAAGCCATTGTCACGATTCTAGGTGGACAATGGGGAAAGGTTAACCTTGAGAAGAAGTATGAGACGGTGGAAAAAGCCCTTTTCAGGTGCACACAACGCGGTGATGAAACAAATGATTCATACTTAGCCCGAACTGATATTTACTGGACAGAACTCTTATCAAAGAAGACCTCATTGGAGGAAATCCAAGCATACGTGGTACTCAGGGGATCACAGTTATCACAAGAAGACAAGAAGAAAGTCATCCTAGAGCCCGATGCCGCTGGAAAAGGTGTCCTTGCCATCGAGAAGGTGAATCAATCAGTTCGCATGTTGGGATCAGGGTTTTTTCATGAAATGGTAGGCCTCAAGAAATCCAAAGGCAAAGTGTATGATGCAACAGCTCTGTTTTCAGAAGAGACTGAAGATGCTGAAGGAACCGCTTTCACCATGGAAGAACCGACCGAAGAGGACATGCTTGAGATGTTTCTTCAAGAGGGCGACGAAGACGCCGCCTTCATAAGTGACTATGAAACTGCCATGACTGAAGCCATCCAAGATGATCCTGAGCTGGCATCCGCCTTAAATGCCTACACAGAAGCCAGAAAGAGACTCAGTGACCGAGCCAAGAACCGAGGATTCTGGCCCCTTGGACAGTCCAAGGGTCGTGGCAAGGGTTTCAAAGGCCGTGGAAAGGGTGCCTTCAAGGGAGCTCGCAAGAGTTTGCAGCAGAGAATCATGGAAAGCTCATGCCGTATTTGCGGCAGCCATTGGAAGGCTGAATGTCCTGATAAGCCCAGAAGCTCAGGTTCAGCCGCACCATCCACTGCCGCCACCATGACCACCATGATTGAGTCCGCTCCTGCTGAGACCATTGATGAGCTTTTGCCCTTGGAGTTCATGCAACTGCCTGTAGCATCCGAAGCCACACTTGATGAAGAGCCCAATCAGCAAGTAGCCAGTGCTTTCACCATGATTTTTCGGGGTAAGAAGTACTATAACCTGGGGAATCCTAGGAAAGAAAACAAGATGTCAGGGGTTGATAATAATAGATTATCGGGGAAACATGACATCGCAGAGCTCAGGAATGAATGCCCAGTGAGAGAGAGCATCCGTAGATTTCCAGTGTCCAAAGCCCTGCCGAAAGCCAACCAAGTACATCTCGCACACGACGAGATGGCTCTTTTTGCAACCCACGGATCATTTGGGATCCTTGATACCGGAGCAACCAAGTCCGTAATTGGAAGTGCACTCGTACCCGAGTTGTTGCGAAGCCTGCATCCTAAGGTACGAGACAAGGTTCAAAGATGCAAGTGCAGTGTGACTTTTCGATTTGGAAACCAAGGACTTCTTGATAGCAATCATGCCATTGTTATTCCAATAGGTAACCTGGGGTTAAAGATCGCAGTTGTCCAGGGTCACACTCCATTGTTGCTTTCCAATACCTTGCTCCGAGCCTTGAAGTCCAGCATCGATGTCAACTCCAGCAGCCTGCACAGCCCTGTTTTTGGAAAACCCATCAAAATGCAGTTGAACAGCCGTGGTTTGTTCCTTGTTGATCTGAATGAGCTTGTGCAGAGTGCGCTGAAACTTTCGACTGCAGCAGAGACTTTTGCCAACTGTGACAATGTTGAAGCAGCCTCCGAGAACAAACAGGACCCAAGTGAACGAAGTGGGAACCTCAATCAAATATCACATGCCACACCCATGCCAATTACATGCCACACTCCTCACAAGTCATTCACAGGAGAATCACCACCACAGAAAACAGTGTCATTTCAATTTCATGACTCAGATCCACAGGTCCAGACTTCCGAACAGCCTCATGAGATCCATGAGAAACAAAAGCCAATCACCAATAGCCAACAGATTGGTTCAAGTAACCCACCGATTGTCGCATTTGATCAGTGTGCCAACACCCAAGATGAGCCTTGCCGACCGATTCGAACGTGCCCTGGAACGCAGCCAGACCTATGCACAAGGCGACAGCATGGAGGAGTTCAAGTCCCTGAGCTTCGAGGAGAAATGCCAACAGACCGTGACCTTTGGCAAGACTCATGTGGGCAGAAACTTCTTGGACATGTACCACAACGAGCCCAAGTGGATGAAGTGGTTCCTGCGAACATACGAGTCCTCCCAGAAGCTGGACCATATGAAACTCCGTCACTTTGTGCAGATCATGTTGGAGCAGGAGGAGAAGGGCGAGACGCTTCCAACGTTGGCCATGACGGAGCCAGCACTCCAAATGCCAATGTTTGCCAAAGCCAAGGCGCGACCTCGAGATCAAGCCCCAGTTCATCACCTGCCCGAGGAGATGAACCAACACCAGGCAATGCAGCCAGACGCAGACGATTGGTCTCTGGCCTCGATGGCTCCCGAGCCCAACGAGATGATCACAGCACTGCAGGCGCGCATGGGCCACATGGAAAATGCGATGACGGAGATTCTGAATCACATCCGCCAGAACTGAACAGTGAGCAGCAAGCATTTGGTCTGAGAATTGCAGGGGACCCAGATTATGGATTAGATGACAGTTTTGTAACCACCACCAATCCACATTCATTGCAGAAACAGTTTGATGAACTTGTCATTCAAATCACCAATGAACTTACCAATGTCAATCAACGCATGCACAACACCAAGACCAATATCCAATGGCCAAAGATTCAGTTTGTTGAAGTTTTTTGTGGTCCCAACAGTGAGCTGACCAAGCAGATGCAGAATATGAACATCCGCTCACGCAGGTTCGGTTTGGCAGAGGGTGATTTGTCAACTGTGGAGGGTCGGAACAAACTGTTTGAGATCATTGTGAGACAAAAACCAGAACATGTTTGGTTCAGTCCAGTGTGTGGACCATGGAGCCCTTGGAGTCATCTCAATGAGAAAAAGTCATTAGAACAGTTTGACAAGATCAACCTCCAGCGAAGTCAGAACTTGTACCAACTAGCCCTCGGCGTGGTGTTGTTGTGTTATCAGTTCTCTATGGGGAAACATCTTCACTGGGAACAGACCCGGAAATCCATGATGTTTCGAACGCCATTGCTGACCGAACTGTATGCACTCACGCATGCCTCCAATTTTGACATGTGCCAGGTAGGTGAGTTGAAGGACCCTGTAAGCCAGCTGTTGATTCAAAAGAGCATGACCGTGCGTACCACCTCCGCTAAGTTGCATGAACAGTTGCATGGTAGGTGCTGTAACAAACAACACTCGCATCAACAGTTGTCAGGGACCACCCAAGTGAATGGTCAAGTCATCAACCGAACGTCCATGTCAGAAGCCTATACCCGAAAGTTTGCCAGAACCATTTCCAAAGTCCTAGCCAAGACCAACAATGAAAAGCCAAAGGGATTTCATCAATGGCATGCCGTTTTTGCAGCCTATGGTAGAAAACGTGGTCCAGACACCTCACCTGTACAGAGGCCGAAAAAGTTCCTCAAGCCTGCAGCAAAACTGATTGAACCGAATGAGTTGCCTCGCAAAAGAAGACGACTTGAGGTAAAAGGACCAGAAGAGGATGCCAAGACACTCGTTCAGCAGATTGTATCTAGCATCAAGCAGCAGCTTCCACGGGTAGGTAAGCATGAGATCACAGACCCAAAAATAATTGAAAAGGTTCAAGAAGTCTTCAACGACAAGATTGTCCACCGAATAGTTGCATGCAAGGGTACCGAACGCACATTAGGACCTCCAAAGCAATTATTGCGAGGGGAAGCACCATACCGTAGAGCCATTGTCGAAGTCCGAGACTCCCACCAAATCCTTGTAGAAGACCATTGGGAACTCTGGGAAGACCTTTCTCAAAGACAATTGATCAGAGCATCTCATTCCTGCCACGTGAATATAACAGTGTTTGCTGCCAGTCCAACAGCAATTGAGCCTGCGGATGGTGACCAAGATTTGCCACCAGACCGTAGTGACAGCCAATCCACGACTCCGGATGAGTCAGTACCAATGCAGTCCCAAGTCACTGACTCTGGATCACAATCACCGGAGCCCGAAGCTCCGGTAGAGCCCAAGATATTAGATGTGGATCATGACCCTGACGCAGCCGACATCCAGAGTCAGATGCATGGAAATCGATTTTTGGCACTACCTCCCGAAGAGCGAAGCCTCCTCATCCGAGTGCACAAGAACCTTGGACATCCGTCTAAGCAGGTTCTCAGCCAGGTCCTTCGCCAGAAGGGATTTCCCATGACCATGATACAAGCACTTGAAGATTATCAATGTTCAACTTGTCAAATGCAACAGAAGCCGCGCATACCCAGACCAGCTACCCTGAAACCAGAAATGGATTTTTGTGACAAAGTATCAACCGATGGTGTCACTTGGATCAACAAAAATGGTCAATCCTTTCATTTCTATCACTACATAGATCATGGTACGAATTTCCAAACAGCATGTGTTGCACCCAGTCGAACCGCAGAACAAGCTGTTGAAAAACTTATTCAAAGCTGGTTCCTATGGGCTGGGCCCCCAAATGAGATGATCATGGATTCAGCCACAGAATTCACATCAGAGATATTTCAGAAGTTCCTGCAACAGAACAATGTCAAAGCCACAGTGATTCCACCGGGAGCTCATTGGCAAATTGGAAAAACCGAGCGCCATGGAGAAATCCTCCAGGAAATGTTGTCCAAGTTTGAATTAGACCATGGTATCAACAACTACTCTGAGCTCCAGACAGCCTTGTCCATGTGTACAGCCGCAAAGAATGCATGCAGTTTAAGACATGGATTTTCACCCGAAGTATTGGTGTTTGGAAAAGGCCTCCGAGTTCCTGGATCTGTAGCCAGCGATGACCACCTCCCATCTCACTTAGCAGCCATGGATGAGAACGGTCATGGTATCCGTTTTCGAACCCAATTGGCAATGCGTGAAGCAGCACGAAAGGCATTTCACGAAGCCGATAACAGCATGGCACTGAGAAGAGCAATGCTTCGCCGAAATCGCCCAAACCGGGGCAATTACGTAGCTGGTGAATGGGTAATGATCTGGAGACAAAGTGAACACCAGAAAGGTTGGATTGGTCCGTGTAAAGTCATTCAACAAGATGGACAAAACTCAGTTTTCAGCATGCACCATGGAACTTTAGTTCGAGCAGCCCCTGAACACGTACGACCAGTGAGTTCTGTTGAAGCCCAACTTATTCCCGACCATGAAAGCTTGATTCTCCCACAGATGCAGGCCAGGGAATCCAACATGAGGGCCAATTTAGAATCCCCACAAAGAATCAATGCGGATAACAGTAGTGACAACGTCATTCCCTCAAGCAATGCTTCCAGAGAAAGATCAGATGGAAATCACCAAGAAAGCTCAAATTCTTCACAATCCCAAGAACAACCTGACACTGAACCAGAAACTGTGCCGCAAGCTGAAATGCCGACGCCTGAAAATCCTCCCGAAGCACACGAAGTGCCAGTTCCCGACAGTGATGATGATGGCTTGATGTGCGATCTTTTGCTGTGCCAAGACCTCGATGATTCCCAACACTTAAAGACAACCAGCGACCTTGCTTGGCGCTTTGAGGTTGATGTTCCCGCTGATGACGTGTGTTTCAACATAAGTCATGACCAAGTGGAAGAACTGATTTTTCTTGCATCAAATCCAAAGAAACAAAGAACAGAAGTGAAACTGAGCACACTTTCACCCAGTGAAAAGGCAGAGTTTGAGAAGGCCAAACAAACAGAGGTAGACAACTGGTTGAAGACAGGTACAGTATGCAAAATCCTCAGGAACAAATTGTCAGCCGAACAGATCCTGAGATGCCGATGGATCTACGTACGGAAACCAATAGAAGACAAAGATGAACAAAAGAGAATCGGTAAAGACAAAAAGGCAAAGGCCAGATTGGTTGTGCTAGGATTTCTTGACCCTGCCCTTGACAAAGTGCAACGAGACAGTCCTACACTTGGACGACAATCCAGAATGTTGATTTTACAGTTGATTGCCTCAATGAACTGGGAATTGTCATCATTTGACATCAAAGCCGCCTTTTTGCAAGGCAAGACGCAGGAGGGACGAGTGTTGGCCATCGAACCAGTTCCCGAAATGGCAAAAGCCATGCAGCTCAAACCCACCGAAGTGTGTAAACTCGCCAAGTCAGCATATGGATTAATTGATGCCCCCTTCTTGTGGTACCAAGAACTTGACCGAACGCTGAGATCATTGTCGTTTATTCCTTCACCTTTTGATCCCACTGTTTATGTGCTATATGAACCCGAAACAACAAAAATCGCAGGTATCATCGGAGTTCATGTCGATGACGGTCTTTGTGGGGGTAATGCCTATTTCAAAACAAAGCTTGCAGAACTTGAAAAGATCTTTCCATTTGGGTCCAAGAAAGTACAAACATTCACCTTTACCGGTATTGACATGCACCAAAATTCCAATTTCAGTATCAACTTGTCACAAGAAAAGTACATTTCCAAAATTGAACCAATTCACATCGATGCCATCCGAAAATATCAACATGATCTTTCAGTGACCCCAGAAGAGCAGCAGGCTCTAAGAGCCTTGATAGGATCGCTTCAGTACGCAGCTGTCAACACCCGGCCTGACTTGTCCAGCCGACTGAGTTTCTTGCAAAGTGCTGTGAACAGTGCCACCATACAGACTCTGAACGAAGCCAACAAAATACTTCACGATGCCAAACGCCACAAAGACACTACCATAACTGTCCAGCCAATCCCAATTAACAAACTGAGATTCCTTGCATTTTCTGATGCATCATTCTCATCAAAGAAACAGCCTGATTCACACACAGGAATGATGATAATGACAACACATGAACAGATTGCCGAGAACGTACAAAGCCCAGTTTCGCCCATATCCTGGGGCTGTAAAAAGATACAAAAGGTCGTAGTAAGTACTTTGTCAGCTGAAGCCACGTCCCTGAATAGTACACTCGATCAGTTGTCATGGTTAAGATTGTACTGGGCATGGATTTTAAACCCACAAACTACATGGAAGGAACCCAAAGCAGCCTTGAGTCAGCTTCCAAATTCCATAACAACAGCCACCATGAAAATCAGTGAATCAGACATAGCTGTGACGGATTGCAAGTCACTGTTTGACATGGTGTCGCGAACAGCACCCCCAAATTGCCAAGAGTTCAGGACTCAGTTGTTGGCCAGAGCCATCAAAGATTTGATGTCCGAAGGAGTGACGCTTAAGTGGGTCCATTCAGGTGCTCAACTTGCCGACAGCCTCACGAAGATTATGGAAACAAGCTTCCTCCGAGAAACCTTGAAGTATGGATTCTATCAGTTGCATGACCAAGATCAGATCTTGAAAGACAGAGCAAATGCACGCAACCGATTAAAATGGCTAAAAACTTCAGAAGAAAATTGAAAACTCTTGATTCTTTGGGAGTGTGAATTTCAACATGTTCCATGGTCCATGTCACTCCAAAGCTTCAGGTCCAGACACATATAACATCTACGGCTGTCTGCAGCACTTGGCTGAGGCTAGCCTTAGGGATTGGTGGGTGGGAAGTGCTTGTGGCACCCCATTTGTGCCATTGAGTCGTGGCCGACTCTTATCGCTTGCTGTGGACAGCATTTTGCCGTCGATTGGAGACTGGGACATTTCATTCCGAGATCTGCTGGAAAAGTGTGCGAGGCCGTGCATTGGAGTTTGCATTTCTTGGTGTGGCTACCTTTCTGAAACCCATTCAGAACATATGTATATATATATAATGAATCACTATGTGTATATAAGTACATAAGTAAGAATATGTTATATTTCTAGAATGCTAGTTGTTTTTAAACGATTTTACTGTCCTGCCGGCTTTTACAGGCTCAATCTCTGTTGTTGTTGGTGAACAAATGGCCAGTGTGCCTGTTGAACCTGCGTGATATATCCAATGCAAATCCACATGTTTCGACATGTTGGTCTATCTTTTCTTTGCCATCCAATTGTATCTCATGTTTCTCAAGTCCCCATGTTTGTTCGTCAAACCCTCACGAACTCACTCCATGTTTTTTTATTGCCATGATATCCCTTGTTGGTCAAAAGAACCATGTCGAAATCTTCTGTTTTTGGTCAACTACTAGATGATTGGGAAACTCTAAGTAGCTCCTTGGCTCCCCATTTAATAGGAAATATGAATACCCCCAGCTCCTTAGCTCCCTCCTAACCACTGGATAGTCAAAGCCACTCTTTTTTGAAAGGCTACAGTGTTGATGCTTCAAACCCATGACTGAGTTGCCGAAGTTGCCGCTGGATGAACATGTTTGCTAACCAAACACTGCAATATTTGCTGGATACTGTGCAAAAATGTCACCGAAAACACAGTTCTTAGTTTTCCTCCCATATCTTATAGATATATACCCCATATCTTATATATATATACTCCATATCTTATATATATATATAACATATATATATAACATATATATATAATATGTACACCAACTTCAACCATATAACCACATGATTTAGAGTAATTTGCATCCCCATCACTGATCTTCTTCCTTCATCCATGATTGTTTGGTTCTACACCCATTGTTAATCAATATTAACCATACTATTCATGTAACTTATATATATATATATTTACATATCCCCATCAATATCAAACCATTTTTGTCAATGTTTTCTTTTCCATTCATCACCATGCGTAAAAATCCCATAGGTTTCACCATAGGGTATCTAATCATTGATTTAACCGTAACCAGAGAATAATTCTCAACAATCTCCCACTTGTTGTTGGTTATACCACCAATTATCGACCAGTATTAATCATTCAAAGATATATATATATAATCAGGATGGTTCCAAAACGGTTCAGGAATCTAAACCGCTGCACATAAGGAACCGAACCGGTCCGGAATCGGAAAAAATCGAATCGTTTGGAATCGAATCGGATTGAATCGACCAGGATTTTGAGGAACCGGAACACAACAATAATTAAAAATCGAATCAAACATGAATCGGTAGGTTGCTTGAACCGAATCGCCCCGAATCGATTTTCAAGGGGAACCGAATCGACGGGAATCGAGGCCATGCATACCCGGGATCATATATATATCTTGGATGTTTGTATTGGATTGAGCCACGCAAGTGCTTGAGATAATTATTGCACAAGCCCGCCACCCGCCATTTTCCGTCACGGCCCTTTTCCGTCTCTACATCAGCGGATCCCTCCATAGCCTGGATCTTCGTCCTGGCGCGGCCAAGATAAAGTAACGGTTAAATTACATGATCTGGTATGTGAAGACAATTCGAAAATACGAACGATGAGGAATTTAATCTCAATCTATTGGGAAATGAAACCTATTTTGCTACAACAAGAATACTGTAATTTGAACAATAATGTCCACAAGGCGAATTGAACTATTATATGACTATGAAGGTACGGACGATTGGCTATGAACCCTGGAAAATCCAAGGGCCATCATGATTTCCATCTAAATATATCTCTTTCCACCACCAAGTCACGTTTGTAGATTTTAACAGGTTTCAGACTAGTTTCAAAGCAGTTTCAGACCCCTAGAAGGGACAGGTTTGAGGTGTAGGTATGTAGCTAGGTAGCTAGGTAGATATGTAGGTAGGTATCTATGTACCTATGGATGTATATATGTAAATAGATATGTCTGTATGTATGTATATAACCAATCCTACTATAGAATTCTGTCCACGTAATACAACTGAATCGTATCATGTTGAGCCTATTGTATTCCGGACGATTAGCTACGAACCGATGCCTGCAGATTATGATTTACGTCTTTCAGTCCTAAGCGGGCGATTGCATCACCATTATGGCCAACATTTGTGTTACCTGCCCTCGAACACCAAGGGCCAAAAGCTACCATCGGTAAAATTATGTAAACTTGCAACCCATATGATCTATATATCTGGTAGGCAATGGCACGTACCAACGGACATCCTTGTTATTGTCCGCTTCGGATCTTTGTTATGCCTCCTCTGCGAGCCGCCAACTACGCTAGCGAGCGCACCTGCACTGTGCACCAAGTGTTGGTGGCGAGTCAGAAGGAAGGAGGCGATCCAGGTACCTACCCGGCTGCTTTGCTGGTTGCTGCCTTGACCCCAAAGTGACCATTGGCAGTAAACATATATATACATACTAATTCCAACGACGTATCATGGGGGAATGGCCCAGATTGAAGAATCTATAACCCAATAACTATGCTTTGCAAACAGTGGATGGTACAAATCTGAGGTTTCCAAAAATGTTTTTTGGAAATAAGTCAGAACAATGATGTAATTGCAAGACACCATAAGGGATCACATAGTGGAGTGGGTATTCAAAAGGGAGTTTGCTGGATTTTCTGGGTCCACCAGGAATGCTGCTAATGATGAGTTTGATGATGATGATGATGATGACGATGACGGTGATGATGATTAATATTATGATGTTGACAACGATTGTGTTGATGATAATTATGGCAATGATGATTTTGATGATGATGACGATGATGATCGTGAATGATATGGCAAACAAAAACATATATTTCTCATACCACACTCTGGATTCTGGATCTATTTTTTTGTGTGGTAAATGGTGTCAATGTTATTTTCAATTTCCTGACATATTTCTTTTTGGTGACCGCAAGAAAACATGTTGTTCTTATTATTGATCTTGTTCAATGGTATGATTCGCCATGATGAGCCAAATTCCTCGCTTTGGTCTTATCTCAAGAACCCACATGGGACAGACGTTGGACCCATTAGCGCCAACGTGAAAACTGAAAACAAATCACCGTGCCATGAACCCTGAAGCTAAGAACAAACTAAGGACAAATGACAGAACAAGTTAAGAACAAATGACATTGGATCAACACTAACACATAAACCATAAAAAGTATTCAGACAACAAAATGAAGTCGTAGGATGTCATAGGGGGTAAGATAGCAATCATCAATTTCATACATTTTATAATATTATAACATAACATTCAAATTTAGATTCCTTGGGTACTGGATGTAGCTATGGACAAATCGTATCTTTCCATCAGCGATGGGAAGCAACCGACTGATCTGGTTACTCGATCGTCTTCAGCGTCTTCTCTTCAAAGTACACGTACCAACAGTTCAAGAGAATGGAGCAACAGAAGGCTTTCTTCTCAAGTGCTGTGGTGCTTCATCAGAGATGGAACGTTTCTTTGTCACAGGTTGAGTTATTAAGTTCGCCGGAACTGATTTCGATTTGGTGATGGTTTGAAGTTTGGAGGTTAATTGGCTTGTCAGGATGGGCTGTCAAAAAGAACATGCCAACTTGTTTCAAATTTCAATTTTTCAACTTTCAACTTTCAACTGTCAATTTTCACTTCGCTAAGTTATTGTTCATGCGGGGAGAGGGAAACTATTGATCTGATTAGGCTGATCACTGAATTGCACGTCATTCAATGTGGAGATGGTGCTGATGAACCACACAACACATTGTTCACTGGATGCCTAAGCCAACCGCTGGAGTGCCAATCTTCCGTTCATGGGCGCAGGCAAATGTCACGACTGACCTTTCAGGATGCAACACATCTCAGAAGGAACTATGATTCTCAGTTTTATTAAATATTATTAAGTTATTTTTGTTGGACATCCTGGTTGGACACAACGACAGTTCGTTTTGGAGATTTGAAATTGAAATTATGTTGTATTCTTCGTCGAATGTGTTCAATTTTCAATCTGAATCAGGACACTATTCGGCTTCAGATTGGGGCAACTACCAAGTCTCTCACAGAACTGGAAACAATGTTTGGAGAGATTCCGTGGAATGATGTGCGCATATCCGCCAAGAAAACTCAACATTTAGAACGGGTTTCTCGTGCCATTGTTCGTGGATCTGATGATGATAAACAGATATGCAGAGCTGTTACTGTTCCAGGTTTTCATGATCATTCCACTTCAACTTCAAACAACAAACGTCCGAGTGAAGTTGAAAACATGCTGGGTTCTCTACTGGGAATGATTGATCCGAATCGCTATGCAGAAGGGAGAGAACTGGTACAATCTTTGAAAGATTGTTTGCGTTTGACGTGTGGGCGTGTACCTCGAAGAAAGGGCGGCTGGCAGTACGCGGATTCATTCATGTTAGACTCTGTTCTGTTTGCAGACAATTTGCGACCGCTGCATGATGGTGATCTCATGCAAGAAACTGTGAAACAGTTTCTTGGCACAATGTGACCAAATCAAAGTTTCATCAAATTTCACTCAACCAAGCTTGAAGTATGTCAATGTTTCCTTAATCCCTATTGTTTCACAAATCAATGTTGATTGAATTATGTTTTACAAAACGATTGTTGTGGTATTTTGTATTTTGGTTGTTTTTTTGGTCGTCAAGTTGACATTGCGTTTCCAGTTTCCAGAAGTCTTTGTGTTCAACTAAGGGCATTGGCATTGTCTTTGGCGCCTACGCTGTCTGAACATTTTCAAGATCAGGAAAGGGCTTCTGGTTCATGAACCTGGAACTGGAAAAGTAGGATGTTTTTTGTCAACCAGAAATCAGGATCGTTTTCATTGTTTCATTAGTTTCCTTTAAAATTGTTTTGGCGCACATACCTAATAATATGTTTCGAATTGAACTGAAATTTCTGTTCCTGTTCAAGTGACAGTTTGAATCTTGGACATTATTTGCACTAATATAAGAATGTTCTGACACATTTTGCAGGACTTGCTGATGCCACAGAAATCCACATTGTATACATTTCGCATACGGCTGGATTTTTGCACCATGCTGTTTCTTGGCAAACATTGGAACATGCGTAATGCGTATGCAAAGTTTGTATAGTGTTTATATTGTGAGCGACTTCAATGTTTAATAGTTTTGAATATTTTGCATAGACCTAGCTTATTGCTTATGAAGTTTCCACACTCTCAAGTTTACTCATTTGCTTTTGATTCGATATGTTTTGATGTTGATCTGTGTCCACGAAAACAAACACAAGGTGGTCACGAGAGCATTTGTATGATCAGCGCACATCCTGGTGCCTTCACATTCGGATTGACAGCAGCCCTCAATTCTCCAGAGACTATCTAGTTTCAGAGGTAGACCATGTGGATCTTAGCAAGGTTTTTTCAGCGCAGTGGCACAGCACTTTCCGAGACATTGTCATCAGTACAAGATTGATGCCCATACAAGTTCTTGGCCGTCGTGCAACAAACACCGCATTCAAGTATAGGGCTCTGCTCAGAATGTTGCATCTTGAAACTGGGGATATTGACCTTGCCAAAAGTAGAACCCGTTCGTTCTTGAATGACATGGGAGTTGAATCCAAACTTTCACTGGTTACAGAGCAAGATTGTGTCAATCCTGTCAACGGTTTGGACAGAAGGGCCTTTAGCGATACACTCCCACTTCATGATCTTGATCATGGGATGCATCATGTGATGCAAGAGTTAGTGGATTGTTGGCCAGAGTTGGGACAAGTGTTTGACCGACAACTCAATGCATTCAGCAAGTACTTCTCCAAGCGGGACAATGTTGAGCGTTTTTGCAAGTTTCGCATTTGGGAGAGCAACATGCCACAAGCAGCAAAGGCCACACTGGCAAAGGTCATGATGCACACATGCCCTGTATTTCTGGAGCACAGGTGGCAGTACCGGTTTGAAGTACTACAGTGGATATGTGAAAGGGAACAGCTCCTGAAACTGTTGGATCCTGCCACTGTTAGGGATGCGAGGAGTCGGGATGAAGGTCACGGTGAGCATGAATTTACAGACATGGATGTTGATGCGTTGCAACTTTTATATGCTGACCCAGTGTCATCTGGTACATTTTGGGCTTTGGCTTACACTATGTTGGTGCTTTGTCGGTGGGGACATGACGTGATTGGGTGGTTACATGGCTGTTGGTGTCACCAAGACAAAGAATCCAGGGACAAACACAAGAAGGACACCGGAAAACCATGCCCCTGGAATGGGCGTAGGCTCATAGAATTGTCTTGTGGGGCTGCTGCAGGGTTTATCAACAAGTTGCGGAGCTTGACGATTGCAAGGGACAAATACGCCAATGAAAAAGTTGAGTCTTTGAAACGAAACCTGTATGTTTCTTCAGCGGAACAAATTTGTCTGGGTTTTGTGACAGCCAAGAATATGCTGGAGGGCCGTTTCATACAACTGACATCATTCCTCCAAGAGGTTCCATGGAATCTGGTCAAGTTGCTTCGCTTTGTCATTTGTGGATCAGATCAGGTACAACAAGCGATGTATGATAGTAGGAGAGATGCTTTCACATTGATGTCAAATTACCAAGCTGGGAGACTCACGAACATTGGGGATGTTGGAAAAAAGTTCTTCGGACACACTGAGTTTTCTCAAGGTTTGATCCGATGGGGGCGATCTTTGGATGTTCATATGAACACAAACTTATTCCGGGAACTGGTGTCGTATTCCACATCGATGTTGGTCATGCAGCGTCTCGAAGCAAAGCATCACCTGGTGCATGTAACTTATTTTACAATTTGATACATTTTTTATGTTATAAACAAATGACTGCATGTTTGTTAAAGGTTATTGTTTTTTCTAACTGTTCGAGCAATGTTTATTGATTGTATTGTATGACTTTTCAACCAACCATTGTGTTAAGCTCTTGGCGGTTGTCTCAGGTCAAGGTTGCTGTTGCACGTGCAACGTCTGTTGCTTTGATGTCTGCCAATTTGCGGAGATCTCTGAACAATGATTTGCAACTGTCTTCATTTCGTCAGCATCTATCAAAATACCTTACTGAATTTTCAAAGCTTGTGCCGGAGTCTTGGTCGTCCATGAAGGAGTTGCAGTCTTACACCACTGGTCTCAATTTGGATATTATGTTTGCTGACAGATCAGAGGAACAAACAGCTATCCTATTGACAGATCCATCCACCAGGGGTGGGTGTGACCGAAGTGATGAGTCAAATCGGAGGTTCCTTGATCACCTGGCTCACTTGATGACCATTACCAAAAAGGGCAAGTACTATGCAATTCCATTGATGAAACCGCATCAGTCGACATCGTCACATACGGATTTTGTTTGCTTCCAGCTTTTGGGATTTCGTCCGGGTCACAAAAAGTATATGCAAAGATTGACAAACTGGTCTTTGGATGTATGGCATGGGGCATTGCTGTGTTCTACTTTGGGCATTTTTTCTGTTCCAAAGACAGTGGACAACATGGACACGGCTTTGGTACAATCTGATTTGGCATTGGCGTTCTCATCTTCCAATGTTCAACCATGGAGTGTGGAATCGATGTTTGATGAAGACAGGGTAGACCATTTGTATGAGTTTCACCAGGTTCACCACGAGGTTGCTTTTGACACCAGTACCATCGAAGACATGACTGCTGAAGAACAAGCTGAAACGGGTGAACATGACATCAATTTTGTGAACCTCAGATGCAGCAGCATCTTTATTTTTTGTATGTTGTGTTTTTGAAACATTATGATACGACGACCAGCCGGAAATGGGAAACATATTAAACTTCAAAAATTGATCTTTTGCGGCGATCAAATTTCCTTTTCAAACATTACTGTTTCTAGCTGTGCTCAGGAAAACACTTTGCGACCTTGGGCATGCTGGAGCGCAATCTGGTAGGCCCATAGCTGTTCGTGGGACAACAAAGTTGGCTGCAGATTGGCTGGTGGAGCATAAAGTGGCAGCTTACAACGCTTCTGGGCAATTGGTCTTACATTCGTCTTCATTGGTATTCAAGACTTGCTTGGGAAATCCATCATTAGTGCAAGAGCCCATCAACACTTCTGAGCAAAGTTTGTGGTCATTGAGACGTACTTTGAAACGACAGGGTTGGGAAGCTGTGGGTTCTGCTCGTGATGCGTCAGTGGAACACAAAAAGTTCAATTCCTGCAGTACCAGTTCAATGTACTTGGCTATTTTGCTTGACCGAACCTTGCCTAAAACATTGTTCTTGGAGGTCTAAATGCTTTGCACGTAAGTGTATGATATGAAACCAGCTATGCTTTACTAACTCAACCATTCCATGATGGTACCATATTGCAATATTGAAGGGCGACTTTTTTCGCCCAAAAAGGGTCCCAAAAATAAAGAAAAAAGTCGCCAGTAAAAATCCCAAACCAAAAGGAAAATTACTACCTGAAATAGTTTATCAGTTCATCAGTTGATCATAATATCACTTGTGTATTTGATCCTTGGTTCAAGGATATGAGAAAGCACTGGAGTACGAGAAGGACAACCAGTTCTACTACTCTGTACCGTGTTTGGCATACTATGCAGCCTTGGCAGCGGGAATGGATTTGGGGAATGTTCAACAAGTGCCTAAAACAATGAACAAGAAGGGGTACAATGCATTGTGCAAATTTTTCCAAGGCGCTTTTGGACAAACATATTTTTGTTGAATCAAATCTTGTATACGTGTTGGGCGGTTTACCAATCATGGAAACGATTTTCAATAAGAGTTTGGGACTAAGACATGATTGGCATTAGCAAAAAAATGTATGCACAGCCTGCACAGCACAATGGTGTCTTTTTTATGTTGGAATAAGATTGTCATGGTTTGTATATCATGTAGGTGAGGTTTAAGGTCTCACTTGACAGGCCATACAACAACTGATCCACGTGACGATGCAGCTATGTTTGAGAAACGAAAGAGGGCACGACCGCAACATGCCAAAAGCAAGCCGAAAGCAAAGACAAAACCCAACGCAATTCCTGCGCGTACTGGAGAAATTATTTCACGCCCTGAAGTTCTGGAAGTTTCGGATTCAGATTCAATTTCTGAGAAGCTTGTGTAGATGTTTTGCAGCTTTTTGGCAACACTTTGTGTTTGTAAGGAAAGCTGGATTCTTGAGATTGTAAATCTAGATATCGTTTCAACACATGTACGTGTTCATTCCCTAAGGAATGAGAAAGATGCAAGCGCAGAACATGCTCCTGAACAAATGGATATGCCTATGTCTTGGATATGCGAGGAGTCAGAGTCAGAGTGTGAAGGTCAAGTCTTGCCAGCTGTACCTACTGAGATCGACAATACGTTGTCCGATGAGACTCTTGTCGTTCAAAGAAAACATATTATCATATCAAAGACCAACTGAATAACCACCGGAATCTGGATGTAATGTTGTTTGATTTATGAGCGCATGTTAAAAAAGACAACTTGACTTGATATCATAATATGTGTTAGTCTGCCACCTGACACCACTGTCATAAATATTCAAACAACATTACTAGATAGCTACTTGAGACTTGGGCTACATATATTTTTTGTCGGGACATGTACATGCTTACAAACAGTTGCAAGGACCTTTCCACATGATGATGAACGTCACACTGAATCTGAGCCTGCGGTGGAAAACATCATCAATCCAAACGCAGCAGCACCAGCAGCACCAGCACCAGCAGCACACCCACCACCTGCGGCGCCTGTGATTGCTCCCCGTGTGAACTCTGAAGGTCATCAGAAAATATGTTCACTTCTACTACCCGTTCTCTTTACGGTTATGACGGATTCTTTTTGGTGTGCAAGGAGTCCGCGCGACCAAGTGCGAGAAGCGTGTGACAGTTTCGTAGCTTAAAACATATCATTTTGGAAGTTATAAATATCGAGAACATTCCTTTAGATGATATGATGACGTAATATGTTTTTTAATATGTTATTTTTTTTGCTATGACATTGTGTCATCAAAGGACTTGACAATGCATTGAAATTCTGGGGCAAGTGGATGACATACTCACGCAAAAGGACTGTTGAAGACGCGGTTCTTTGGTGTTTGCTTGAGTATATGTTTATGTTTTAACATATGTTCCTTTTATTTGTTGAATGTTACAAGCCAGCCTCAATTGATGTTTTTGGAACCTACCAAAAAAATAAGGTTCTGGATTTCTACTACGACGATTTGAAACTTCGTGTAGTCTAGCAGGGATTCTTGCTGAAGAGGATATCAGCCGCAAAAAAAAACATTGCCGTGTCCTACTAGCATGATGGGAGAACACATCAAATGTATTTCAGAATCTATGGTTTTAGTTTTTACATTTTCATATGATCATCATCAATCCGTTGATATTGTGTAAGTTGTGTATGTATGATCTTTAATGTTCCTGCTGCAAGTGAACTTTAGTAAAACACCGGTTGATGGTGGTAGTTGTTTGAAGCGACCTGACCACATGGCGCATGCTATTGGCATTTGATCAAGACATTTTAGCTTTGGTTGGTTCAGAAGTGAACTTTGTCATGTTGTTGTTGTCTCATCTATGCATGTTCAACTCCCGTGTGCGTGTGTCATCCACTTCTCAAGTGATGGTTTGATAGATATCTCTTCCACCAGAGTTTCTTTTGCAAGCCATGACTGATGATTCAGACGATGATGTCTCTTTCCATTTGATGTTGCGCCCTTTACCTGAACCTCTACCGAACGATGTGCCTCCCAACCGAAAAGACAGCTCTAGTAGCTCAAGATCCACCTCTTCATCAAGATCTACATCATCGTCTTCCAGTGAGCAGGTGCAGGCAACGGCGTCACAGGAACCACCAAGTAAGAGGCAACGAAAAGGAAATGGAAAGGGAAAGGGGCGTGCAAATCGTTCCGAGAAGACTAAGCAAACAAATGCTAAAGAGAACGATGAAGACAAAACTCAACGCGACATTGACTCAACCCAATTGTGTTCTACAGCTGCTCTTGGGTGGGCCAAACGTGTATGTTCTTTTGCCTATCAGAATGATGGGGAGTGTGCGTATGATCACGTAGATGTTTTTACTGAGTTCAGCGGGAGCACGTGCGCTGAAAGCGCTGTGGAATCAGTGATCAATCACATGAACCCGAAGCCTACGTTGAATTTTTGCTATTCTGCTGATATCAAGTCTGGATGTCGCAAAGTGGCTATGTCAACACGTTACGACCTCGGTTGTTTGAAACATACAAACAAACATTGTCATTACTATGCCAACTACGTGGTTTTTTTTTTTTTTTTTGAGCTCTAATGATGCAAATTGTCAATGCACTAAGATCCAACATCGTGCTGTTTTGGTGATATCCTTGATCTCCTACCACCAGAGACTTTCAAACAAGTTTTTGAGCTGAACACAGAGGAGGTGGGGAACAGGTTTTTGCTTCCAGTACTTGTTCAACATGCGTTTACCAAATATTTCATATTCAATAATATGATGTTTTGTTGGTAACAATAGACAAATACATTTATATACACAATGATTTGTATTACACCATAGTTCCATTCTACTGTCCCTGCCAGGTATTGATCTCCACCAAGGATGTTGTGGCAGCTGCAGGCAAAACCGCAAAACCAGATGCTGTTTTGTTCTCCAAAGACGGCAAGTTAAAGAAGGAGTTGGGTGATGCTCACAAGGGTTGGCGTTTGATTTCAGTAAAGTCTTGTTTGAAAGACACACCAGAAGAATCACTAGCTGAAGCCAAGCAATGTTTGACAAGCATGTACGATGATGCTGGCCATGAAGTGCGATCATCAACTTTTGTTTTTGGGCGACAGAATCTAGACACTGTGTGTGGGTGATGGGTTGGGCTGGTTGATTAATGAACAATAATGTATTGGGAAAAGGTAACATACATATTCAAAAATATTGTGATATATAAAAACGATTAGATACTACATCAAAATAATATATATATATAATATATACATAATAATAAACTAATAATTATATATATAGATGCAGTATATATAATATGTAAGTAAACTGTTTTCAAATAAATTCAATATATATATATTTATTATCCAACAAAGAAAGAAATATATATATATATATATATTGTATTATAATAAAATATACTATATACTACTTATATTTCAAATACTTATATTGATTTTATGTACTATACATTTTGACATATATGTATATATATATATCATTTTTATACATATTATACATGTTACATTATATTTAAATATAAATTATATATGTAAAGGATTTTCATGTTATATAAGGAATGATATATATATATATATGAAAAAATATTTTTATTCAATAATTTGTACTATAAATATAGACATTATTCACAAATATTATATATATATTATGAATATAATATTGTTTCATCTTATACATTTTGTACCCGTAAAATGTTTATTGGATATATATATATATATATATATTATTATTATTATTATTATTATATATATATTATTATAATATATATATATATTCATATATATATATATAAACAATATTATATATGTATGGAAAATAGTAAATAATCTATATATATATGTATATGTTTATATATATATATCCATAATATATATGTTTCAAAAATAAAACCGCATAATTTTAAACAATACAAACAACATATTGCACAAACATGTTATGTAGATATAAAAATTTCATGACATATGTTTTTTTCTTACTAGTTTCATAATTTTCAACACAACATAAATAAAATGATCAATTTAGTTAAACATTTTTTTTTCAAAACGTTTTAAGAATTTATCAGTGTTTCGTCAATAGTTCGTCAATAGTTCGTCAATGGTTCGTCAATGGAAACTATAGTTCGTCAATGGTTCGTCAATAGTTCGTCAATAGTTCGTCAATATGCTTTTAAAGTTCGTCAATGATTGACGAACTAGTTTTCATTGACGAACTATTGACGAACTATTGACGAACTATTGACGAACCATTGACAAACTATTGATAAACTATTAACAAACTATTGACGAGCTATATGCACAAACACATATACATATATACACACATACACACATACATACATACATACATTAATTACATGCATGCATGCATGCATACATACATACATACATACAAAGATACATACAATTTTTTGACACAAAAGAAATAGGTACAACTATAATGTAGTTGTACCTATTTATTTTGCGTTCAAACCATGCATACATACATACATACATACATTAATACATTCATTACATACATACATTAATACATTAATTACAAATACATACATACATACATAGATAAATAGATACATACATACATACATACATTACATACATTACATACATTACATACATACATACGTACATACATACATACATACATTAATTACATACATTAATTACATACATTAATTACATACATTAATTACATACATTAATTACATACATACATACATACATACATACATACACACATACATACATACATTACATTACATTACATTACATTACATTACATTACATATATATATATGTACATATATAATCATATATATATATGATTTGATTTTTCACATCCAAGAATATAATACATTGTTCATCCAAGTACATACCAATAGATTCCGGTATACTTCAATGTTCTCGGAGCACAGCCCAGGAAGACAATGGATGAGCTGATTCCTGTGGTTCTGGATTCATCACTGAAACTGAACACTGAATGCTAGCAACTTGAATGCATAAGTGTATACAAATACATAAACTTTGTCAAATTGATGTTGAACTATTTGCTTATATAGTGTGACACTGTTGTTATGGTTCAACCAAAACCTTTTGATTTTGTTCTGCATCTAAGTTGTTACACCCACAAGCAACATTGTCGACGTGGAGCGCCGCCGAAGAAGAATGCCAAACATCTCCACTTGGGTGTGTTGGGGAGCCCATGCATAGACCCTTTGCTGATATGTTTTGATCAAATTCTTTCTTGTGTAATGAAGTTTCGGTTTGCAATGTTCAACAATATATTGTAATGCTATCTGATATATATATATATACACATAGTTGTTTGATGGAGAATGTCAATGTTAATGTATAATTATATATATATCTGTATGATGACAATATACATATATATATA